ACCCGCAATACAACAACCTCTCAAGGGCTGAAGATGAGTGGGATAGATTCTGTAACGCGCTGAAATTGTGCTGGCGGAGTATCCCCAGCGCTCTGATCAAGTCCCTCATATTGTCTATGCCACGCCGCCTTAAAGCTTGTATCAAAGCCAAAGGGTGGCATACAAGGTACTAGCTATCGACAATGAAATCCTGCTTTGAAACATTGAAAAAAATGTTGTTTTGGGTGAGTTATCCACCCAAAACAGCATTGCCCAAAATGGTGGTTCGGCGCTTCGGCAGCTTGGCGTTGCAAAACTTTTGACCTAGTACTGTACCGTGCTTCCACCAGCAATCGACCGACCTCCAGAGAAAACCTACTGTTTTCGGCTTCAGGGAAATGGAGCTAACTGCACGTGCCGAAGATACATAACTCGTCGTCAAATCAGCAATCTTGGCCATACTACCCAAGGCGGTTTGTTGTGGCTGTGCGGCCCGGCGTAGAAATCCCAATGCGAGAATGCGAGAAACCATTCAGCTAGGCTGAATCTTGAAACTTCCACAGACCTCTGTCCAATGAGCAACCATCTGACCAGACCTTCGAGCCTCAGATTTTGAGGTCTGCCTTATGGGCAAGAAGGAAACCAAGCATGATGCGAATGGTAAAGCGAGCGTAGAGTACGGTGCTTGTAGTGAACGTATAAAAAAGGCTGTCTCTTTCCACATGTCTCGTCATTCCCAGCACATCCCAGGTTCTAAAACAAAACTCGTTGTACGACCCTCAAGTATATATCTTTTACTATCACCCAAGAACATGTCCACCTCTATTGCTTTGCAGAATCTGAGCATCTCAGATGCAGACAATAACACCGTGCGTCACCGAAAATCTTCCCGAACACACGTGAAGTCTAGGTCTTCTGAGGATGACGACCCGTGGCTGGACACGCCTCACGATAGAGAGTTCTCAAGTCGACCACTTGACCCTCGTTCCCTCAAACCCACAGTAGTGTACTGGATCTCTCCTCATGCTTTGCTCAGCAAAAAAATCACAATCCTTGACTTGACGAAAGACATGGAAGTGCCATATACAGGCATGACAGCCGAATACAAAGCCGAGATCAAAAGGACCATGAAGGATCATTCCTTCGCGCCGGTACTTACCTGCCACCGCCGTACCTGGCTAGGTCTCAAGTACGAAATCACCGACGACCAGAGCGCACATGTTGCACATTGGTCGCATGCCTGGTCGTCGTTCGGCGAATCAGTCCTCACATTTCCAGACGACTCAGCTCATTCATCCCATGCTATCACCTTGAGTAACAAGCGCTGGGGACTGCGCACTGAATCGTTCGTTTACAACTCACAGCCGTACGTCTGGCAAATGGACAGCTTGTGGCACTCGACGAACATGACGCTCTATCGGATCACAGGGAGTGGTGAGCAGCAGATCAAGACGGAAGTAGCCAAGTACGCGCAGAAGTGGTGGGGTAGTTTTGTAACCGGTGGGACGGTGGTGGTAGACGGTACCGAGATTGATGGCGCTGTGGCCTGTTTGACGCTTGTCGTGGTGTTGAAGAAGAAGCGGCAAAGGGCTGCAGAGAGACATGAAGGATGAGGGTCTAGGTTCAGAAGGATGGGCCAGGCTGTTCGAGTTTTTGAAGTTCGGCCAATTGACTCGACATGGTGAGGCTTGGCTGTGGCGTGGCTCTTCCTGGCAGGTGGGAGCCGGAGGGCACGTGCGCGCAACTAATACGGTAATACGGAGCGGTTTCCTGGCATTTCCAACGTCATAGTACGGGGTTGATGCTCAGATCGGATCCACGTCGGTGCCACGGTGCCACAATCTTATTGCTCCTTGACCCTTTACCCACCCAGATGGGTCTCAGTAATAAAGCTCGTGTTGAACGATGTATTGAGCAGTGTTGCAGCTAAGCGCGACGTGTACCAGCTCTGCAGACGGAAGCGGCCACTCACACAACGTCTACCCGCAGTTTCAGATTAACCACAAAGCCAGCGGTTGTTTGGTTCAAACGGCGGGCGGCTAGCTCGTAGGATAGCGCACCAGTCGACGCCAGTGACGCTGCCAAGCCCCCGACCGACCGCGCATCAGGGAATGCAAGGCTTGAAACACGTCGACACCCTAGTCACCTGTGAATCAATAATGATAGCACTTCGCGCCTTCTCTTCGTTGTGTTGATTCACTGCCTCTTTGCTACCTACTACCCTACTAATATTGTTTTCTTTCTATTACAACCGCAAACGGTAGCGCCTCCTCGCTACTCTTCTTCCATGGCAACGAGAGGTTAAGACAGGGGTTCCGATTCGCAGCTTTACCACATACGCGACCCTCCACGACCACGACCACGACCACTCTGAGCCATGTCCGAAGTCTCGACGTCCTCGACGTCCTCGACGACCGCAACGTCGACGACCGACGCCGGCGGCGCGCAGCTAAGGTCAAACCAGAGCATCGAGAATTTCGCCGCGTCGCTGTCAACTGCAGCTATCATTTTCGGCGTTCAGATTGGTTTCTTCTTGGTCCTCAGTGGCAATTGGAAGCTTCACAAGGGAACGGGCAAGAAGAAGCCTGCCGATGGCGACCAGGAAGACAAAGCGGCCGCGCGACAGAGTCTGTTCCACAAAATCTACTACTACAAGACCGCCTTTGTACCCGTCGCAAAGCGTATCGCAGCCCCCACGACCGCTATCGAGTCCTTTCGAAATGTCTTTACGATTAGCGACAAAGAACTCATCCGTATTGCCGGCGTCGATGGCTACCTTTTCCTCCAATACCTGCAGCTCCTGCTACGCATATTCATCCCTATGGCTATCATCATCCTACCTATCCTGCTACCGATAAATCGCAAGGGCGACGAGCCCGGAGTCTCTGGTTTAGACTCGTTCGCTTGGCCCAATGTAGCCTTTGCAGACAAGAGGCATCGCTTATGGGCACACTGTATCATCGCTGTAGGCGTCATATGCTGGGCGTGCTTCAATTTCTACTTGGCGCTCAGGCAGTTTGTACGCCTTAGGCAGACTGTCCTCACCAGACCAGAACATCGTATTCGAGCATCTGCCACCACCATTTTGGTGCAAAGCATTCCTCAGAAATGGCTTACCGCCCCAGCTCTCGATGCCCTCTACGACGTCTTTCCCGGTGGTATCAAGGATATCTGGATAAACCGCAACTATGACGACCTAATGGATAAAGTCAACGATCGAACCAAGATTGCAAGGACCCTCGAATCTGCCGAAACAAATCTTATAATAGCGTGCACCAAGAAGCACAGGAAGATGGAGGAAAAGGCAGCGAAGGAGGCTGGAAAGAAAAAGTCCAGAAAAGAGAAGAAGCACGACATAGCTATGGAGAATCACGCGATCAATCAGGAGACTCACGAGCAAGGTGTGGATGCTGGTAACCCCCACGAGATCGAGCAACAACTCCAAAAGGTTCTCGAGCAGTCCCCTTCGTCGTCTTCCTCTTCCTCACGGTCAACCTCACCCGATCGGAAGCGCGGCATAGTGCCAATGCAATTTTTGGGAGAAGGCATGCACGCCGTCGGTGAAGGTTTCCGTGATGTCGGCCATGGTGTCGATCGTTTCAACAAAAAGGTCTACGGTGGAATGCGCGGTGTGTTTGGCGGAAAACCCCGCCAGGCTGGCCAGGCACAGACACAAGAGCAAGCACAGGCGAGCCTCGACGGTGCCGACGAAGTTCCAGGATCATCGCCAACCTCTGCCGACTTTCACCACAGGGGGGCTAGTACTGACACCCATACGCCTTTGGCCAGCAAGGAAACTTATGCCTCTGATGGCACCATCACCGAGCCGAACTCTCCCCAGACAGATCTGAAAGCGCCTGCAGCTACAGCCGAGCCCGAGAAGAAACCTATTACGCCTGGATGGAAGCACCCTTTCAATAAGCTAAAGGCCGTATACGTTGGTCAGGGTGATTTTATAAGCCCTAAGCCATTCGAGAAGCCAGGAGAAGAGCTGCCACTAGAGCTCAAGGACCCTAGTAAAATCAAGTATGATCTCACAGGACTGTACGACGAGTCCATGGAAGAGGATGGCGAGGATGCTCTCTGGAGAAAGTACCTTAGGCCAAAGGACAGAGAAACGATGCGACTACCGATCTTCAGTTGGTCTTGGTGGCCGGCCTTGCCGTTGATCGGCAAGAAGGTTGATACCATCTATCATTGCCGAAAAGAGCTCGCTCGGCTCAACGCTGAGATCGCGGACGATCAGGCTCACCCAGAACGCTTCCCGCTGATGAATTCTGCCTTTATCCAATTCAACCATCAGGTTGCGGCACACATGGCCTGTCAGTCATTGAGCCATCACATTCCAAGGCAAATGAACCCGAGAACTGTAGAGGTCAACCCCAATTACGTGCTCTGGGACAATTTGACTATGAAGTGGTGGGAGCGTTACTTGCGCATGTTTGGAATCATTCTGCTCATTGTAGGACTTATCATCTTCTGGGGTATCCCCGTCAGTTTTACAGGAGCTTTGTCCCAAATTGACAGTCTGACCAAGACCTTGCCATGGCTAGGCTTCATCAACAAGCTTCCCGACTGGGTAGTGAGTTTGATACAGGGTGTGTTGCCACCAGCTTTCTTGGCCATTCTCTTTGCTGTGCTGCCTCTGGTCCTGCGCTTCTGCGCTGGTCTTACCGGTACGACGACATCAGGCGAACGCGAATTGCTCGTCCAAAACTTCTATTTCGCCTTCGTCTTTGTCCAGTTGTTTCTGGTAGTATCGATCTCGACAGGTATCACCTCGACGATTGACAAACTGATCAACGATCCTCTTAGTGTCCCATTGACACTGGCGCAGAACCTCCCCAAGGCCGCTAACTACTTCTTCTCTTACATGATTCTGCAAGCTCTCAGTATCAGTTCTGGTACTTTGCTACAGATCGGTGCTGTCGTTGTCATCATATTCCTCCGCTTTCTCGACACAACGCCCCGAGAGAAGGTTTCAAGGGTGTTGCAAAGACCTGGTATCAATTGGGGAACTATGATCCCTGTTTACACCAATTTTGCCGCCATTGGTAAGTAAAAGTCCTTTGTGATAATGCACGTTAAAGCTAACAATGCGCAGGTCTCATCTATTCCGTCGTCGCTCCCTTGATCCTGATCATGATGTTGATCACTTTCTGCCTCTTCTGGTTCACATACCGCTATCAAATGATCTATGTCAGTTACGCTAAGGCCGAAACCAACGGTCTCATCTTCCCGAAAGCTGTCAACCAGCTGTTCACCGGGTTGTATTTCCTCGAGCTTTGTATGGTTGGCTTGTTCTTCCTACAAGAAGACGATAAAGGAAACCAATCTTGTTTCCCTCAGGGTATTATCATGATTATCATGGGCATCTTTACTGTCCTCTTCCAAGTCGTACTGAACAGGGCGTTCGGGCCTCTTTTCACATACCTGCCAATCACATTCGAAGATGAAGCGGTCCTTCGAGACGAGGAGTGGCAGCGAGCACAGGCCAGCAAATGGGAACGCGATGACGAGCATCAATCTCTCACTGCTCAACAAGATGCAGCGCAGACGGCCGAAGCGCGCGAGCAAGCACACCTGGACGAGCAAAACCGCATTGAGGAAAGGAAACAACGCGAATCATCCTATGGTCCAGGATCTTATGAGCTGAGCAATTTGGACGGTAACATGCAATCTGCTGGCCATGGGCAATCACCTCGACCCGGCAACCGCGGTCGCAACACCAGTTGGGCAGATCGCTCCCGCCGTAGCTCTAACTCACGCTCACAATCCCACCACAAGCAGCACCACAAGCGCAAGGATCCTCTAGATATGATTACCAGTACACTCAAGAAAGGTCTCGACGATGTTGCAAAACCCATCCGCGATGTTGAAGCACAGGTCCTGCCCGCTGGCAATCTTTTCGATGAAGTAGACGACGAGCTCGCTGACATCGAGCCTGAGGCTCGCCAAAAGCTTATCAAACGCTCCTTCCAGCATCCGGCGACACGCGCTATCCAGCCCGCCGTCTGGATTCCGCATGACGACCTGGGTGTCGCTAAGGACGAGATTCAGAGGACTAGTGCATTCACGAAGCGTGTATGGATCACTAGTGTGAATGCAAGGCTAGACGCAGGCGGCAGCGTCATTTACAGGGGACTGCCGCCAGACCGGGATCCCTTCGAGAATATTGAGGTTTAAGCAGGTTGTTTCGTTGCCCGCTCTGGCTCACGTATAGGGCCAGCACCCGTGATGCCATCGACCGGATGCAACATGAGGCCAGTTGGTTTGTTTTCTCTTATTACCTTTTGTATTCGCCTTTATGGCATTTTCAAGTACGTTCGCATAGCGTGGAGTTTAAGAGTTAGGGGCCCTTGGTAGCATTATATTTAGAACTACCCATACCATATGCATGACTAGAAGAACATGCCGTCTAGCGTAGCCCCAATATCATTCGCAGCCCCCGTATCGAGGAGGTTTCCAAGCTCAAAGTCTTCGAAAAGAGAGTCTCCGAAGAGAGAGTCTTCGTCACAGCCCTCCTCCTCTTGTCCATGCTCTTGAGACGAGCTGACGATTACAGCAGCACTCTCATCCACACGAACCTCCTCCGGTCGGTCCTCGGCGACGGCTCCGGCAACCCGATCATCTTCATCGTGCATTTGTACTCGTCCAGAAGGCTCCACCTCAGCACTCTCATCGACAACGTCACTGTCATCAGCGGCGAGCCATGTTTGCGGAGCTGCTTCAGACGACCCATCCTCCTCCTCTCCAACGACATCCTCACACAAGCCAGCATACAGTGCTGCTTCCAACGCCCCATCATCCTCCGCTTCATCGATGGCGTGCTCAGGAGTCGGTTCTTGAACCACAGGGCTCTTCCGAGGCCTCCCACGTTTCTTCTTCTCCTTCACCACAGCCACGTCCTCTGCAGCCCTGACCTTTGGAGGTCTCCCCCTCTTCTTCGGAGCAGGGTTAGGCTCCTCTTGAACCCTTTGCTTCCTCTTTTGGCCAGCAAGCGAAGTTGAGGTTTGCTGGCCATCCAGCTTCGCCCACCTCTCCTGCTTTGCTTCCTGTACTCTTACATTCTCCTCATTCCACACCTCTAGTTGTGCTGCCCTCGAGGCCTTGCTCCTCTTACCCTTGGTAGTGGTAACAGCCTGGTGGAGATTGCTCAAATTCTCTTCATCCCTCCTATCTTGCAATTTGGCTTTGCAAGTTCTCTCCATCTCAGCGCAAATGACCTCAGTTTCTTCTTCCAACTTCTCGCGCTCTTCTTCGCTCTTGGCCTCTTTCAGCTTCGATGTTAACGAAAGGCGCAAATAGTATATGGTCGAGAAATCCAGAGAGAGTTTGGAGGCTCGAAGGATATCTTCATAAGCCGCTTCGTTCGAGGGCCAAAACAAGCTGCAGTACTCACGCTGCTGTTTTATGTTCATGAACATGAAGCTGCGGAAAAGGCGGAAGGCGCATGGCTCATAGCTTTCTCTGATGGTCAACTGGAGGTGTTTGACTCGTTCGCCGAGGTGGCAGGGTGCCTCGGGGACAGAGGGGGCCTCTAGTGAGGAGGGTGTATCCGCAGGGGTGAGGAGACCTGTGTCTTGGGCGGCCGAGACGGGGACAACAGGGCATGCTGGTGCTAGTGTGGGTGCTCGCACCTCTTCTTCGTCATCTCTGGTGAGATCAAAATACTGTTCTTCCTGCTGAGCAGGCGGCGCGGCGGTACTCGCAACATTCTGAGCCGCCCAAGGACCCTGCACCGGTGCCGTGAAGGCATTCTGGCTATACTGACCTCCATAGGTCTGAGCCTGGGGAAAATATTGTAGCTGGTGGGGGGAGGCACCAGTAGGAAAGCAGTTAGTAGCAGCGACGCCAGGAGCATACACGGGTTGTGGCCTACCCGGAGTGTGATATTGCGGCTGCTGGTTGGCGAATACACCGACAGGGAAGCCACTGAAAGCAGCGACGCCAGAAGAGAATGTGGGCTGTGACCTACCCAGGTTGTGAAGTTGTTGCTGGTGGGGGAAGGCACCAGGAGGAAAGCAATTAGTAGCAGCGACGCCGGGAGAAGGAAAGAAAGGCTGTTGTTGGAACGCAGCCGGAGAAGGGTAACTACCGTAAAATCCGAAGCTGGTTTGAATGGGTAACTGCGGTATACTTATGAGCTGCGGACGAGCAGAAAGCTGAGATATTCTTGCTCGTTCTTGGTCGGTAGGTAACCTTAGGCCGCCGATGTTGATTCGTTGTACCATGTCGCTCTGTGTTGCGAAAGTGTTGGTTGACATCTTGGTGAAAGTGGAGGGGATTTGTCGTTGTGTGGGTGAACGATGTTGGAATAGAATATCTAGGATGAGAAATGGGTAGTCAAAAATACTTCCAAAACTTGTGTCGATGACTAGAATGTGATCTGAACTGAAAAGAAAAGAAGAAAGACACAGATTGAGCAGAAGTTTTATACAGAGCGACGAGAAGATTGGGACCGTGGAACACTGTAAATCTGGTTCATCTGAGTAAATTGATCTCATGAAAAATGTTATGGATGGGTAATCAAAACTAGAAATCAGCCATACAATCGTGTTGAGGTCAGCGGAGACCATGGAGACTATCCATTGAACTGTGGTACTCTTCGCCTATACCAGATTTATGGCTGTCCAGAAAACGTGACCGCAATGTCAGACCAATCGAATCGAAAAGTCTCGTCCTAGTCAGCATCGCAGAAATGTGACTCCATTGGATTGCTCGAGTAGTGGATCCACTATGCCAGCCGCTTGTGACGAGGCCAGAGCCCATGGTAATGCCAGAAGCCCCTAGAGTCCAACTTCCTGCCCAAGGTATGCACATCACGTGGCAGAGCGCGAATTCCCTCTTCCTCCATGAGTTCTCCCACCCATTTGCCATATTCCTGACGTGTCTCCGCCTCCTCTTTAGTCATGGACGATTCGACCATAGCGCTGAAGCTCATGATGAGATCGTACCAGTCGTAGACGCGCAGGTCAGCAACAATCCATCGCTTCCCCGGGGTAAACTTCCGATGAGTTGCAATAATGGCGCGCGCAACATCCTCACCGTGGATGAAATGCACGGCTCCTCGCTTCCGCACATCGTCTTTCGACTGAACTATGCGAGGGAGCCACCTAGCGGGCACGCGTTCGCCTCCGTATAGGCCACATAGGTTTAGCACACAACCGTGAAGCGAGAGTAATTCGTCTTCCGCGATCGCTCGCTTGTCTTCTTTGTCATACGGCGCATGATCATCGCTCCAGTCATCGGGTAACTTATTGAAGATGCCTGTAGAGCCTAGCTGCACCCAGTTGTTTTTTGCGCCGTGAACGGAGCGGTAAAGGCCGACGATGGTCTTCGACTGCGTATGTCCCACCAGCGGGAACGTGATGATCACGGTTTGCGCCGCGGGAAGGCGCTTATATGGTTCCGCATCGCCGGAACTGGGGTCGAACTTGAATGGTATCGTGTTATCTCTTCCAGTAGTCGTGGTTGCGGCATAGCTTATGTCGGTGTCCTCTAGTTCAGGTATCAAAAAATTGGACGTCCATCCAGCGCCCAGAATCAGAAGGTCCACCTCTTTCATTTGCTCGCGTAGCATTTTCAGTTGTGCAGTGTGGGTGATTGGTAGCACAGACCTTGCGCCGTACTCAGAGAGCCTGTTGTGTGTAATCTTATATTGGGTGAAAGATCAATCCATGGGTGACAGAAGGTGTGAGCCGCGGCTGGTATAGCTCCATGAAGTCGTGACGTCTCCGCACGTACCAAATTAGCTTGCATTCAGCACGAGCCATCCGTTCAGCGTAAACCTTCACGTGTGAATCTTAGCTAATAGGCAAACGGGATTTTCACTGGATAGAAGCTTGATGATCAAACATTCTGAGGCTGCAAGAGCCCCATAGTGTACATCGAAGCGAGTAATACATCTGTTCTAGCATGATAGAAGAAACGGCCACCACTTATCAAGTAGTGTAGGACTCAGAGAAAGTGGAGTTGACATTTCCACCAGCTGTCTCACGTGTATTCAGATGACGTTCTTCCTAAATAGGTAAATTGTAATGGCGTTGATTGCAGCAACTGTATTTCCAATCGAAATTCTGATCGAGTCCTCGCTGACGTCATCAATGCGTGACGCTTCACGTGCAGTCGCGTTAGACCCATGAAATCGATAGGCGCTCATTGGCTGTTTGCTGAGTCGCGTCTTCGTCATCGTCATTACTATGCGCTGCGCATCAGCTCGCGGAGCTCCGTATCAGAGTCTATCACAAGGACCTCTCGCCATTCACACAGTTTTCTATCGTTAGATTGACCTTCCAATGCGGACTTCACGAGTGTCTCGCGACACGTCCCGTATCGTCGCCGCAAGCCGCACCCAACGAGCGCTACGCCAGACCCGAAGCGCGACCAATGCGCAGACCCCTATCAAACGAGAGACAGGTAGCGACGAGAATGCTAGGGCAAGTTCAGAGCTGAGCTCGGTACCAGCAGACTCAGCCTCCGATGGAGAGGCGCGACGAGTGCCTATGAAGAGGAAAAGGGGTCAAGATACTCCTATCGTCGTGAAGCAGGAGGTAGAGGAAACAACGATCGCTGGAATCGCATCGCCGAAGAAAAGCGAAAAGGTCAAAAAAGCCCGACGCGCGCCTGCGAAGAAGATTAAGGGCAACGATGGGTCTGTGAAGATGGAGCCGCCACCCAATTGGGAGGAGATATACACCCTGACGAGAGAAATGCGGAATGAGAATGTCGCGCCGGTAGACACTATGGGGTGCGAGAGTCTGGCGGAGAAGAACAGGTCTCCTCGAGATCGACGATTTCAGACACTTATAGCCTTGATGTTGAGTAGTCAGACGAAAGACACCGTCACAGCGCCCGTCATGCGAGGCATGCAGGAGAAAATGCCTGGCGTGGGTTAATTCTAAAGGCGACTGCTTTCCACGGCTAACATAACCAGGGTTTCAATCTTGAATCTGTCCTGGCACTAGAGCCGCCTGCGCTCAACGCTTTCATCAACAAAGTGGGTTTCCACAACCTCAAGACCAAGTACATCAAGCAAACTGCGGAGATTCTACGGGACAAGTGGAATAGCGATATTCCAGACACAATCGAGGGACTTGTGTCACTACCTGGTGTCGGGCCTAAGATGGGATACCTCACTTTGAGTGCAGCTTGGGGCCGGCATGAAGGTATTGGAGTCGACGTCCACGTCCACCGCATTACCAACTTATGGGGCTGGCATAAGACTCAGAATCCAGAACAAACACGTGCCGCTCTGGAGTCATGGCTGCCAAAAGACAAATGGCATGATATAAACAATCTGCTTGTGGGCTTTGGACAGACTATATGCTTACCTGTGGGCAGAAAGTGTGGTGACTGCAAGTTGGCAGATAGAGGCCTATGTCCCTCAGCAGTGGTAGCTAAGAAGACGAAAGTGAAGAAGGAAGAAGCCGTTGTGAAAGTCGAGGCACCCAATGGCGACGAAGAGGCAGCAGTGAAGGAAGAGACGGTGGTTGCTGATGTTGGTGAGATCAAAGCTGAAGATGTGGAGGGTGCGATAGACATAGAGGATATTGGGCAACCGCCACGCAAAAGGGCACAGAGGAAGAAGTAGTAAGTAGTCATAATACTGTATATACCATCATTGAATCTTGGATCTCTAACGTCTAACATGTTAAATCAGAAATATGACTAGGCATATTCGAACACAGTCTCATGTTTTATCGCGTCAACTTGGTATTCCGACAGCGGAAGGCGGACCCTGCCGTCATGCAGACCGCATCGCGCCTTCCAGTCTTCACCAGACAACAGAATATCACCGAGCTTCCATCGCCATCTCCTGCATGTACTCATCAAGACTGATCTGAAATCACTACTCACTGTCCTACTTTCGCGTCACGATCGACGTCCGATTGACTGCGTTTCACTCAAGTGCTGCCTGATCCAGCACGTGCAGTCACTGGTGCCTTGCGGCCTCATCAGTGGCACCTTCTCCACACACGCTTATTTGGACCCATGAACAGCCTAACCAGACCCCTAATCACAGGCTTCTCAAATTAAAAACCCAAGAGTTCGGCACTTACCAATACGTGAACACAACATCGCAGCACCTGCAACATGGAAGTCGCCCGCGACGAAGCTCAAGGCTCAGCAAACGCTAGGGTGCCTTCCACCACAGTGATCACCATGGACATGACACCTCAAGCAGAGCTGAGCATTACGCCTGCTGGAAGCCAGTTTTCACAAGACGGTCAACGCGCTACATCGGAACCAACCAAGGCAAGGATTCCATACAAAATCAGGCTTCTACTCGCCAACTCGCGCATGCTACTGCTGGGGTTGTTCTTCATGTACCTCAGCTCCGCGATACTCTCCCTCGCCACCGGATTCTTCGGCATCGATAACTTCATAACACCTCGAATTAACCGAGTGGTAGACGAATTCAATGTGCAGTCAGCCACCATGCACAAAGAGCAAATATTGTACGGTCGCTTGGATAGACTTCTCTCTAGCCAGCTGAGCCGTGGCTTCATGGAGACTCACGAAGACTGTCTCATTCGCGGTCTGAAGAAGGTCAACGATGAATCCTTCGGGCTTGGCTTTCAGGACCCTCATATGCGTGCACGGATCATGTACTGGACAATGGATAATTGTGGTAGACTTCAGTACACGCCACAGGTGGTGATACATGATGCAACCCCACAACAAGCTGTGCTCAGGTCCTGGGCAAATGTACGATATCGCTCCCGTCGTATACTCGGGGAAGCACTAGAGGTCGTGAGACTGAAGACCCGTTCGATCTGGAATCGCTTCTTCGGCGGTATCTACCTCATAAATGGCTCCACCTCCACCCCCACTGTACATATTTCTAACGGTACGGATACTGGCGATACGTCCTCGTCAACCCGATCCCTTTCCAAAGTGCCATTTGGATTCGCCCTGCACTGCGAGTCCTCCCAGCCATGTCGCCTTGTTTACCTGCCCGTATCCTCGGATGAAACGTTCGCTTTGTCGGGTCGCGCAAAGGCCATTGCGAAACTTGAATGCCGGCTTAGGAAATTGGCAGCCTTGAAGGCCAATCTTGAAAACTGTCTATCGTTTACACGGTACTTGGCGAAAGTTCTGACCTTCGTGAGCTTAGCTCCCTTAGGGATCGAAATGGCGGCCCTGGTCGGTGTGGCTTCGTACATGGCCGCTACCAAGAAAGTCGCTAGGAAGAAAGCCGCAACTGAGCTCACTCAATTCCTCGGCTTAACAAATGCAAGAGACAAGTACACAATCAAGACCATCGGCTTCGGTCTTGCTCTGACCTTGGTTGATCGCCTATACATCAAGTACTCAGAGCACCTCGGATGCAAAGTATCGGTGCTTGTTTTTGGTCTCTTCTCTTTATTTTCGGGCTTCAGCATGCTTCTGCGGTTCTTCATTGCACCCAACTCATGGCTTCCGGACATCTTTCAATTCTGCAGAATGGTCAAGGAGCTCTATCTGATCACGCGAGGCTGCGAACTACCTGACGGAGAGGATTATCGTTCAGAGCTTTCTTCCGCGGCTGTCATGAACACTGAGGCTCCCGAACCCAAGATCACTGAATGTCGACCTACAGGGACAGAAATGCAGTCTGATTCATCTAACCACCATCGAAGGAATCAATCCTTCAAATCGCACCGTCGTCCAGTATCTCCCATCACATCACTTACGGAGGATTTCAAGACTCATGAAAAGATGCTCCAAGAAGAGCTGAAGGAGGTGACGAGGCTGCAAGTCATGAAATATGACGTGGAGTCTGATTATGGTAGTGACATCGATACTGAGTCTGACTCCGAGCCTGGTACTGAAGACAGCGGTTTCGTCGACCTGGCTGGTGGCGTTACCCCCCAACTTACGGACGCAGAATCCGGCTGGTCTGTGGTGGATGTGTAGGAATACTACGGCCATGTGGTTTGGAATGTCATACGAACATTCCATCATCGCATACAATTTAAAACACATCCGGGCGCGATTAGGCACGTTAGCAGGAAACATACTCAGTGTCTGCATGGTGTATGTACAAGGGCACACTATCACCTACGTGCCAGCAGTATGGCTTGTGTACCACGTTCGTTGTCTGCTAGTAATCTCGGATCAATACGTATAATTGACCGTATGCTCTCCCATCCCCGTCTGTGAATGCGTTGCTTGAAGAGATCACTCTTTGCTTTACCAGGGGCTGGGCGGTCTTGAAAGTTGCTACAATCCACACCCATGCAGAGTTTTAAACCTGCGTATTCGGGAGAACATAGTAAACAGCCTACAAACTTCATAACAAGTTCAGACTACAGCGTAGCTAATAGGTATCTTGTGAGAGTTGCTGTGATCTACACCTTTGATGGAAACTTGCCTAATTGGGACTATCGGTATGCCCACAGGGTAGAGGGGCAGCATGTGGGATGTAGAAAGTTGCTGCAATCTATGGCCTTTCTTCAATTACCTGTTTGGGAAGGTTCTCGATGTGAGACGACATGGAAGGAAGGCGGAAGCAGAACTTTGCTGATACGCTAGTCTGACGAACCTGGGGAGCCGCACAATATGAACCATACCACCAAGCAAACATGAGTCAAAAGAGTTACATTAGAAATACACTACCACCCACAAGATCTAACGTCCAAGCACATAGCACCTCGCAACTAATCCAAAAACGCTCCTAAACTCCAGCGCTTTTCAAATGTCATCCTAGCAGTTCCACCACATCATCTATTTCTTCCCATTCCCATTTCCATTTCCGTTACCCACACCCAAGCATTTTCCCGCGTCTTCCAGTTCGCCAAACACTCTCTTCTCAAGCTCACTTAACGCATCCTCACCCTGGCCCTTCCTGCTGCTCAGCATCTCCAACTCCCGCTCATCGATCGCTACAATGCGTTCACGCAGCGCGCTCTTACGGTTCAACCAGCTCTCGACATCTTCCTTGATGTTCTCCTTATCCCAGTCTAGGAGTGCGACGTCGTTTGCCTGAATACCCAGTTTAGGGCCTTGCTTGCGGACGTTTTCCAGAATACTGGATATGAGCGACAAAGAGTGCACTTCCGAAGCGACGGCAAGCGTAATCTTCTGGGTAGCCGAGGTGCGGGACGAGGGATTTGAATTTATGCTTAGAGCCGAGCGGGCGAGTTGTTCTGGGAACTGGTTCAAGAAAGATGAGATTTCCGCTGCAATGGGCGGGCCGACTGAAAGCAAAAGGTTGAGGCAGAGCGGTAGGATGCCTTTTGTCCAGATACTGTACATGCGTGATGGATTGTCGAAAGGACCCATGCCGTTGACGCGACGGTAGTAGTTCATGATGTTTGCGGTGTTGAGTTGACTGAGTATGCCTTCTACAGCCATGGTTTCTGCCAAAGCCTGGATGCTTGACAGGGAGAGCAGAAACAGTACGCTGAGTTCACCGTAGATGGGGTCGTCGATGCCATTGTGGGATATCGTTAGACGGTCAGCCCATGAGAAGAGGCTGGTGGCGTAGCGCACGGTGTTGCTGTTGGCGAAGAGGAGAGCTGCCTGTTGTTGCCACTTTGACATCTCTGGTATCGCAATGATGCGTTGGAGGAGTGCAGTGAGAAGGGCAAAGTCCGATGGCGAGACGGATGTAGGTTCAGCGTGAAGTTGGTTGGCAAGGCTGCGGAAGCCCTTTGCAACCGTGTCGGAAAGAATCTCAAGGAGCTGGGTTGAGATGGGCTCGGCGTATTTGTTGTGGCTTGTAGGCATAGTGCCCCGGAAGGAAGAGCGGAAGGATGCGTCATCGGAAGTATCTGTATCTTCGATAAGATGGAAGTGAAGGGCAAGGTAGAGGATTCGTAGCAAGGATCGGTAGTAGTGCACCGCGTCGGTCGAGAATACGTTCTCGAAGTCAGGCGTGGAGGTACGAATCGCGTTCCACACTGGAGCGAGTAATTGACGTGCCTCATTCGTTCGTACCTTTGCCTCAACCAGCTTCTTCAACAGTGCAAAGGCCAGATCTGCTCGCAGAACCATGAGCTGGCCAAACAATGCTTCCGGGAGATTCGATTGTTCGTTGGCGACCATGCACTTGTGGATGACGCCAACGAGTACCTTGACTATACGCTCGTCCTTGGCTACGACTTGGCTCAACTCCAGAGCCAGCAGCTTCCAGCCTTGAAGTAGTAGAACCTGAGATTCAACCAGGCCGAGGTTGTAGTTGGCTTTCTCAACTTCAGCTGCGAAACCAGTGCCTTCTCTGGGACCTGTCCACTTGCTATTGAATCCCAAAAGCCGCTGGGCAAGGTCGATGTCGTAGAAGAATGCCCGCCCGAAGGTCTCTGGGTACAGTGTGGTTCGCTTGATGTTGCCTAGCGTGACACCAGGGTATTGTTTCTCCAGGTTTTGCTTAAGATAACCATGCAGGGAAGTACTGTAGGACGGTAGATCCAAAGCAGTGTCTTCCAAGTACGTCAGGCTTGGCACAACATCTTTGAGCACGGTGATATCGCCCACTTGCCGTGAGTGGTGCAGGTACATGGCGATGACTTCGCAGGCTAACGATGCGAACCTGTTTTGGAATGAGCGTTCGAGGGTCTCGTTGTTGTTGCTCATCTTCGGTTGCTTGGGCTGCTTTGCCATCCACTTCATGAAAGCGAGCAGTTTCTGGATCAGATCTTTGCGTTGTCGGAGGTCACCCATTGCCCATGACCAATTGTTTTGCGCTGACGAGACAAACTCGAGCATAGCGGTGTATAAAGGCCATGAAAGGCCACCCGCTTCTTGGTCTGGTAGAGCCATGCTTGAGAGTGCGTCGAGCGCTCGCGTAAGTAGGGCTTTGTTCCTTGAATCGTGAGTCGCGTCTTTCTTGGAACGAATGGACTCGCGAGGCGTGCTACCAGTAAGCAGATATAAGGAGAACCACTGCTGTTTGCATGTTACTACGGCTGAAAGCAAGTTCCAGACGTTGGTCTGAATATCCACTATTTGTAAAGGCTCATCGAGCTGCGAGAGTACGCTCAAGAAGTTCTTCGCAGTCCGTGGTCCGAGATGACCGAGTAGTGAGGGCGGTTCTTGCTGCTCAATCTGTTTCCGTACATACTGCTTAAGGTCTCCGTCTGTCATCGTTGAGTCATCTTGTCCGGCGACACGGACGGCACCACGAACAAGAGCTTCCAACAGCAGCACGACCTGCGACTTCCATTTGTCACTGGTTGCGTACAGTCGTGCCAGTAATGGCGTAGCTTTAAAGAGTTGTTGCTCCAAGTGTGTCCAGGGTTTGTTCAAGAGTACGGCAACCCGGACAAGGATGTCAGCGAAAGCCAGAGTAGTCTGCGTCTGTAGCATCCACAATGCACTCGAAGTCGTGAGCAACGTGGTGTCGCTGGGACTGACCCCAGTGATCAGGGAGGTCATCAGCGGGTTTGTCGGAAGATCTGCGCCAGCCTGTGTAAGGTATAGCTGCGTGATGTACTCGGCGATAGGCGCGATGGATTTGGCGAGCTTAGCGGATAGTTTCGGTTCGTCGTCTACGCTGTACGCGAGGTTTAATATCGTCGTGAAAACTTCGCAGATGGCGATGTTGATCTCGGGCCGATGGTTGGGATGAGAATATTTCCAGTTCAACGAGTTCTCGTATATGCTAGCAAGGGTTCGACCGAATGTAAAGAGTATTGTGCTCATGATCTTATCCGAGGTTCCGCTTTCTGAAGGAGCAGCAGCATTGAAGCGGCTGAGTGCTCTCGTTGGGACTTTGCGCGAGACTGATCGCTCGACTGCATCTTTAACGAGACCCTTGTAGAGTCGGATACAGCCAATAAGGAAGTCATATCGTCCTAGAACCATTTCAGTGCCAATGAGGATAGTCGCTAAGCTGCCATTTCCGTCGCCTTCGAGCAATCTACTCCTGGCGAGCCAGGGCCATACTCTGTGTGGAGAAACAATAATCAAAGCCTCTAAGAAGTGAGTGCAGTTGACCAACAGCTCTAAACACGCCTCGTTGCTTGGCTCCTGGCAGAGGTGCAGGAGCTCCTCCTCGAAGATGGCGAGCACGAGATTGACGGTATCCTGGCTGCCCTCAGCACCGATGCCAATCGCCTCCAGGAGCTCAGTCGAACAAACGCCCTCAGAAGCATGTAGAGAAGAATGCATCAAATCAGCGAAGAGTCCGATGATCTCGATGACACTTTCGCGAGAGGCAGGCTGCTGCGTGGCAGTCTCAACCTTGGTGCTCCCTACAGGGTATGTGGAGAGAAGTTCGACTAAGTATGACAACGTAGAGTGCTGATGATGCCAAACCGCCACGTATGGGGAAGCATTGTCATCAACGATGATTCCTTCTGTCCCGGCAGGTATTCCAGATAGTCCATCAGACTGTGTCGAAGTGCCAGAGGTCAGCAATCGACGTTGTCCACGGAAGCTCGAAGATACTCCAGACGAGAAAAGCGGAAGGTTGCCCGTGAGTTCGACCCAGTTGGCGTTCTCCTCCTCGCGCGTCAACGCATAGTCCCTAAACCCATCTGGAAGTTGTTGCATAAGTCGATTGTGGTTTCCAAGCTTTTCGATGAATGTAGGCAAGCCGTTCTGCATCGTCTTGTCGCCACGGGTCAATGCGCTACAGAACTTCAGGAAAGGTGTCATCTCGTAGGGGTAGCGTAGCCGAGCTTCATTGAGCAGCAGTGGTCGAAGGACATATTCATCTTCCAGGAAATACGCAACAATCGGGTCAGCATGGCGAGATATGTCGCCGTTCTCCCATCTGCGGAAAGAGTTGTCGCCAGTCAGAATTGTGTATGTCGTTACTATCAAGTCCGGGCTGTACGCGACAATGTCACTACCAACAGCAGCGCGAATAAGCTGAAGAAATAGCAGACGAATCCTGTCTTGTGATATCTGATCAATCGGTGTTCCGAATGCAGGCAAACTGGTTTGGACCAACTGGTTGACAATAGCCAAGACACCCACTGCTGAGCTGACGTTAGCAAGCTCCTCGTAAGGCATTTTGCCATCGAAGAGCTCATGGGTTTCGAGTCTGGCAACGACCAAAGCAGCCTCCTCAAGCGGGGAAGTTTGAGGTTCTGGGTTTCCGGTGTTATTTGACGATTCAAGCAGACGATCACGCTCTTGTTCCTCGTAACTCGCACGACTTGTGAGCTTCCAGGTAAGGATTGCCCAGGCAAATGTCGGTGGTGTAGCTGGGCTAGCACCCAGCAGCTTGGCTTCTCCGAATATGGTAGTGATGCTCTCTACAACAGCAGTGTTGAGAATGTAGGATGAGGAGGCCCATGTATTGCAGTCGCCGGACTCAAGATCGTCCATGATTTTGTCTACCTTCAAGATAGTCAAAGACATAAGGGAAGTCAGCAGTTGTATGACTGGAATGAGAGGTTCCTGGCGAGCTGTGACTGCAGGAAACTCGCGGAAAAAGCCGCGGAAGCTGAAGGCCTTGAGCCAGTCTTCGATAGTAGCCGCAGGAAGGAAGTCCTTGGCAACCAAATCTGCGTGCACCAGGGCGAGATGCAGGATGTGCAGCATCTCTGTGGTTTGCGCAACGACCCATTTCTCCGAGGCAGCTTCCAGTATAGAATCGTCGACGTTCCAGCCATAACCGGTGTCCAGGGAGTCACACCTCTTGGAGAATGCTTTCAGGCACTCGTCTAGCGCCTTTCCACCTGTAGGTCCATCTTGTGCCGCTGCAATGGCCTGCCCAAGCTCTTCAATCCAACCGGCACCAATGCTAAGGTAGTCGTTACCGTAGATGGTCTGGCTACGCAAGTTTGATGCGCAACCCCATGAAACGAGAAGCTGGCTTATTCGGATGATGGAAGCGCATGTAGAATGGTAGACGTCGAGAATGTGGAGGCGACGCTGGTCCTTTGCGTCGAGATGCGCCGTCTTGGAGGCGAGCGGTGAGGCTAGGATGGATGAGTTCGGGACGAAAGTCGAGGCTCCTAGGTTTCCCATTCCAGCGGCTTCCTGCACGCTGAGGGCCTCCTCTTCGGTGAGTCCACTCAACAGTTGTGCAGTCGGCCTGCCCTGCCACTCTTGGACAACCAATTGCAGCGCTGCATATTCTGATATTTGCGCCTCTTTGGCCAGCCACAGACTGTCTTCCTTTATTTCTTCTACATTGTAGTGCTCGCTCTGGGGCGGTGTGATCTTGATGGGCGCTGTGTTGGTCTCGAACTTGCTCTTCTCTTGCGACGACGGGTCGGCGAAGGGCTTCCATGGGTGGCTGAGGATATCTTTGTTATCGGTGGAGGTGAGGAAGGCGCGTAGGGCTTCGCTTTTAGACGCGGTTTCGGGGTCGCAGAGGGCGCGATATGCGATATCCCAGGTTCTAGTACTGTCAGCCAGTTTCTTGCGTTGAATGCAGGTAAACATACACAAGCTGCTGCTCGCCTTTGAGGCACTTGCCCAGGTCGAACTCGGGGGATTGGATGGGGGCCATGGTTGCGCTGCGGTGCGCGAGTAGAGTGTCAGCTAACCAAAGGCCATGAAGGTGCTGGATGGGCGTGGGGTGGTGTTGCCGAATGTTTGGCGTGAATGTCTACGAAAGTCGCGAAAGCCAAAGCTCACGCGAAAGTCGAGCTAGTACGTGCAGGGATCATCACAAGGGCTCTTTCTTTGCGGACACTTCAGAACACGACATCGCATGCTTCTCGCTACAAGACACATCTGTGCAAGACCCATTCCATCGCTGTTGCATCTCCGTCTTGTGAGATTTGCATCTCGTGGTCTTGCACCTGAGGTTGCAGTACTCGCCCCAGCCAAGTGCAGTCCCAATATCCTACTAGCAGCTGGATATGTAGAGAAAACGACTCTTCCTGAATACCAAGAGCATGAGCATGTCTTTTCGTATGCAAAGTATTGCCCGGTCGCCCATATTGATGCGTCCACGTCCATGTACCGTCTGTCGCACTAAGCCTCGATCCATGCCACCTCCGTGTTAACTCCGCATCCTCAATATCTGAATAGTGCATCATTGAGTCACCCCGCTACCCTGGTACCTAGACATTCGTTCCTTTTCTACGTTCCTGTCACCAAGTCCACACACGTTTCTCGGCGCGGGCTCCGTTCATCGGCATCTAATATACTCACGACTGCCTCGCCGTCAAAGGACCGGCAATCTTCCTGTCATTTTACCGCCGCAAAGTTACCCAGACGAAGCTATATAGCAGCCACCGGACTCCAAAGGCGCCATTCGCGCAAGAAACCACCCACCATGCCTGCCCTCGCATTGATTGACCATTCGCCCAACAACCCCACCCCCTCTCCACCAATACCGACCGCTTCCAACGTTATACTCATTGACAACTACGACTCCTTCACCTGGAACGTGTATCAATACCTCGTCTTCGAAGGCGCGACCGTGACTGTATACCGAAACGATGAGATCACTGTCGAAGAGTTGATCGCAAAGAATCCTACCCAGCTGGTAATCAGTCCCGGACCGGGACATCCAGAGCGCGATGCAGGCATTAGCAATGCGGCTATCAAGCACTATAGCGGCAAGATTCCAATCTTCGGCGTGTGCATGGGAGAGTGAGTCGTCCTGATTGTTTGTGTCATACGGCATATCACCGCAAGCATTGTTGCAGCTCTCTTTGTAGGGCGGGAAGAGGAATTGAAGGTGTATGAGCGCACAATAGGCGGGGCAGTGCTAACGCGGCGCAGACAGTGCATCTTCTATAGCTACGGCGGTACGGTAGACGTGACAGGCCAGGTCTTGCACGGAAAAACATCGCCTCTCAAACACGACGGCAAAGGCGTCTTTGCAGGCGTCTCGCAGAATGTCCCCGTCACACGCTATCATTCGCTCGCTGGCACCCACGGAACGCTCCCTGACTGCCTCGAGGTCACCGCTACGATACCCGCGAACGAAGACGCCGAAGTGAAGGAAGTCATTATGGGTGTGCGACACAAGGAATACGTTATGGAGGGTGTGCAGTTTCACCCAGAGAGTATCTTGACCGAAGATGGTCGCCTCATGGTGAGGAACTTCCTCAAGATGCAAGGAGGTACCTGGGCCGAGAACGAGCGGTTACAGAAGGAGGCACATGCTCAGGCAGTCGGAGCTGCTGCTAACGGTACAAATGGCGCAAAGAAGGACAAGCAGACATCCATACTGGAGAAGATCTACGACCACCGTAGGGCCTCTGTCGCGGAACAGAAGAAGATCCCATCCCAACGGCCTAGCGACCTACAAGCTTCGTACGACCTTAACCTAGCACCTCCTCAGATCAACTTCCCAGAGCGTCTCAGGCAATCTCCGTTCCGACTATCGCTCATGGCTGAGATCAAGCGCGCATCGCCCTCCAAAGGCATAATCTCCTTGTCTGCGTGCGCTCCTGCCCAAGCAAGGCTTTACGCAAAGGCCGGCGCAAGCACCATCTCCGTCCTCACGGAGCCGGAGTGGTTCAAGGGAAGCATCGACGACCTCAAAGCAGTTCGTCAAAGTTTGGAAGGCATGCCAAACCGTCCTGCTGTCCTGCGCAAGGAATTCATCTTCGAGGAGTATCAGATCTTGGAAGCTAGACTCGCAGGTGCCGATACTGTATTGCTCATCGTCAAGATGCTTGACGAGGCAGTGCTGAAGAAGCTCTACGACTACTCCAGATCACTTGGAATGGAGCCCCTAGTCGAGGTCCAAAACGCAGAAGAAACGGAGATCGCCGTCAAGCTGGGCGCGCAAGTCATCGGTGTGAACAATCGCAATCTTGTCAATTTCGAGGTCGACATGGAGACCACTAATCGACTAATCAACATGGTTCCAAAAGAGACAATTTTGTGTGCGCTCAGCGGTATCGCTGGACCCAAAGATGTCGAACCATACATCAAGAGCGGAGTCGGTGCAGTCTTGGTGGGTGAAGCGTTGATGCGCGCATCTGACACTGCTCAGTTCATTGCTGAGCTCTTGGGTGGCTCATCTACAAAGAAGGCGCAAACAGCCTCAAGCCCGATGGTAAAGATCTGCGGAACTCGGAGTGCAGAGGCCGCAAAGGCTGCAGTCGAGGCAGGAGCTGATCTCATCGGCATGATACTGGCGCCAGGAACCAAGCGAACAGTGACAGCGGAGACAGCACTTGCCATCTCGGAAATGGTACACAAGACTAAAAAGCCGATTGTCTCAAAGTCGGGGCTGCTTGCTGATTCAAAGGCTGCGTCTGATTTCTTTGAGCACGGCGCATCGCGGTTGGTATCAAACGACAGTCGTGCGCTTCTTGTAGGAGTTTTCCGAAACCAATCACTGGAATATGTGCTCGAGCAGCAGCGATTGCTCAGCCTAGACGTTGTACAATTTCATGGTCAAGAGCCACTAGAGTGGGCAAAGCTGGTTCCTGTACCTGTTCTGCGAGCTTTTAACCCGCAAAACCTTGGAATCGGCTCAAGAGGTTATCACGCTCTACCACTCCTGGATGCAGGCTCTGGAGGTTCAGGCCAGCAACTGGATCTCTCCGACGTCAAAGCGGTGTTCGCAAAAGACGATGGGATCAAGGTCATATTAGCAGGTGGGCTGAACCCTGACAACGTACAGTCTATGCTCGCTGGACTCGACGAGTACCGGGATCGCGTTCACGCTGTGGATGTCAGCAGCGGTGTCGAAGAAGACGGACAGCAAAGTCTAGACAAGATACGCGCCTTCATAAAGGCAGCTAAGAACCAGCAATAGGCATCAGAATGAATGTCTAAAATACTACTTCTAAAACGGGAGCTGGAATTCATCAAATACAACGCACTTTGTTCACAGCCTCATGGTATCTCCTTGAATGATTTACGTTCTTCTTTAGGTCTTCTCTTCATCTAAGAATCACATGTTACGGGAAGGATGGGCTGCGTCTCTAGAGACAGCGGTCTGCAAAGGCGCCGCGATCAGTGCCTCTTACCTCGCGAAGACAGCCGCATGGCCCGAGCAAACGCTATATCACATAGACTGCTGCGTGTCACCAAAAGGTAAGATCAGCCCGCCTCGCGCCAGTTCTTGAACCCCGATCCGGATATCACAAAACCTTTTTCTCGTTCGCCATCGAGTTTACATACGAATACTCCTACGTCCCACATCAGCGACGATACCAGAATGGGTATTCTAGACAAGCTAACTATTGCCCTTGTTGGCACACTCCCTCACGATGCTAAGCAGATGAGAAGCTGGATCGAGCGAAACGGCGGTAAATACTCTGCTAAGATCACCAAGAGCGTCACCCACCTCATCGCCAGCAAAGAAGCATACAAGCAGCCCGCCGATGCTGTTCAACAAGCCACCGACTTAGGCATCCATGTAGTCAGCTATGACTGGTTCGACGACTCTCTCCAGGGGAGGAGGAAGCTGAGTGCTAAGAAATATACCTGGACGGTGTTGACGAAAGAGAGGAGAAAGAAGAAAGAGCTCAAAAGGCTGGGTACCTTGTCAGATGGCAGTAAGTTCAGGAAAGGATGCGAGAAGATCAAGGAGTTAACTGGATCAGGTACGTCAAAGAAATCTGCTGTTGTTAAGCCCAGGAAGAGCAAGAGTTTCTTTTTCTCTACCTCTTCTTTGGTGGTCCCACCAACTCCTTTCGTATCTGCAAAAGAGGATCTCTTGCGTAGGAGGGCAGAACGGGAGAGTGCTCCAATCGAAACTATCAATGACTTCACAAGCCCAGCCAACCGATCTCCGAGCTCTTCCGTTCCAAACCCCAAGCCTATTTGTTCATCCCTCAAGAAAGTACCACAAGCTAAAATTTCTCATTGGAAAGAGGACTATCACTACTACCAAGACGTCACGGGCTTTGAGTACAAGATCGTCCTTGTACGTGGCGGCGAGTCTTCAATGGCGAACTACCACATCGGACTCTTGGAGAGTCACACGAAGCCGCATGTGTACTGGGCACTTGTGCAGTACAAGCCTGCCAAAGTTCCACCAGTGAACGACGACGGTTCACACCAACACGTCCAGTATCCTGAAGCCACCCGCCTCCTCTCTCTCGTCACCAAACCTACACCAGTCCCAGAACTCCCTTACAACGGCGAACTATGCCCACGGAACAGCGATTTCGCAACTGCCTCCCGCTCTTTCCGTCACGCGTTCCGTGACCTCACCCTCCTCTCTTGGGAAGAGCGTTTCGACACTAACAAAACCCTGCAAAAGGCGCGCGCCCAACACCTTAACATCGAACCTTTTTGGTACGGAAAACCTAAAATGGGCATGCCGATGGGAATGCTACCGCAAGCGATGGGTTTGTTGACTGGGGAAGTAAGTGGTTTAGAAGTCCGTGGCGATATTGATGATGGGTATGTCCGTGGTGCTTCAAACCTACCGTCCATCAGCGCTCCCCTAACCACGTATGGTATTATCGGTGGCTCTATTCACCATGACGCCGAAGAGTTGCGGAAACACGAGGTGGCTCGTATGCAAAAGATCAAGGACAGGGAGGAAGTCGAGAGGAGATCGAGGGGCCAACCTAGAGGAATGGGCGTCAACCATAACAGGCCTATGTTCAATGGAGCGATGGGTAGGCCGACGGTTGATGCATATGGTCAGCGTATCAATTATGGCAGCAATGGAGATTATACGAAGTATACGGTACCGATGCCGGTAGGTGGTGGAGGGAGTAATAGGGGATTTGTGGCACCGGAGTTTGCGCATTTGTTAGGTGGTGGAAGGAGGAGGGCGTATACCCCGTTTCCAAGTGAGAGAGATGGTTGAATTGGGTGATGGGCGACAGGAGGTGATGCCTAGATTGGTGGATAGGTTTTAGTTTTTCTGTGTGTCTAGCATCCTGCGATCTCTTACACTGGCTATGGTGGTTGAAAGGATTCTGGAAAGACATTAGGGTCAGGGGCGTTGGGCGGTGATCGGCCATGTTTGGCCTTCAACATCCAGTATAATATTTAGCGTGAGTCGCAGTTCTGACATGAGTGCCTTCTGATTGATGGGACCCCATTGCGCATGTTGGTGACTCGCATCATGGTGCTGAGATGACTTGACGGCAGAAAGTGGACTAGACTGACCGCGAGGTATGTATAGGCCTTGTCCCCAATTCTGATTTCGCTAACTTCGCAGGCGAGTAGCTGTATTAAACAGATGGTGTACGAACGACTCAAAGCCTGGATGAAAGGGCAAGCAAACGGCGAACTACCTTAAAGTATCATCTACTACAGAGGTACTGCAAAGCATACCCATTACTTCATCCTTGAAGATAGTATCCCAGGAGGTCTTACGCTCAAAGAATTCTTGAGCTGACTCACAGAATCTGCTACTCATATGTCCGCGCTCTCTGCACTGTGTCCTACGCCTCGCCAAGCTACTACGCTGACAGATTGTGCGACCGGAGTCGGATGTATATCCGGGACTATGCCATAAGAACGACCAGCGGCTCGAAGATGAACTTCAACAGAAAGAGAAGGAGCTTCGTACCGAGAAGGTGCGTAATGTACTGATCGAATCAACGCCGGAGATTGAGAAGAAGGACTGGAACAGCAAGAAGGAGAAGGCTGATTAGAAGAATATCAAGGAGAAGCTGGCGGAATTGGTGTTCAAGAAGATAAAGACAGGCTTCTACAAGTTCGAAGAATAGGATCGGATGAATCCTTGGGATCCGAATCTGGACGATACTATGTTTTGGGCGTAAGCAGTGGACATGGTAGGTGTTGCATAGATGGCTTTGTCCACTTTCGGAGGGGAGAATTAGTAGAATTACTGTCTGTCGTTACAGGGAGAGACTGTTCATTATTCGTTGTATATGTTTTCTTTTTCTTATCCTACATGATTACTTAACGCGCACAACGAAAAGTGAACTTTTGCCATTGACGCTTGTCGAAAAGGGTCGTTGTTGCGAACGGATGCCTTAGAACGCAGGCGCAGCGCTGACACTGCAGTATGCTGGTAGGCGCAGTCATAGGCGCAAGCTCGCACGATCGTCTCTTTTGAGTACACGGGTATCATTTCGCACTTGATTATAGGCATTGAGTATCCGTTGAGCGCGGGAGTTCATAAGCGGCATCTGACATTACCTCATTCGGCGTATTGCCTTGGGCGACAAGACCGAGAGCTAGGTACGCTGAAGCCTCGTACATACCTGGGTATGTTCCATGGGCTTAGGCGCGAACAACACACAATATTGGAAGCATGAAAGCATATAATGAGGAAGCTCAAAATTCGGCTGCCTTGCTCTGCAGCACGATGGCGATGGAGACGATGATGCTGCGCCTCGCGGGAGAGCACGCTAGAGCCACGCGATCATGGCCGGCGATGACTAAGGGCGTGTCTTGCCCGTTCTTGTCCCATTGGTGACGTTGGTCTTCGCGGCTCAGAGCTGGGCTGATTCAACAGGGTCTCATCTTAATTTCCCTCGCAACCCACATCAAAACAAGGTTGCGGCACGCTGCAATTAATCGATTTTCGAGCATTGCCTTACCCCAAGCACAGGCATCCGCTGTTCATTTCATCGTCGCTAGCCTTGTTGTGCGGAAGAATTGCTGGAGTACTCGCCGCGCTCACGCCCGTCAGTCAGCGCAGGATTCCGTAGCTTCCGCGGCTGTTCTCCAAGCTCCAGCTCCACTGCGGCATTCCGAAACCATCGCCCCAACGCTGTCAATCCATCCCAGCATACACCAAACATGTCGCACAACTACGATCAGTACGGCGGCAACCCGTATGGCCAGGCCGAGGCTGGATACGGCGGTCAATCAAACCCATATGGAGGCACCGGCTACGGCTCATCCAACCCCTATGGCGGAGGAGTAAGCAGTCGCACCTGCGCGGCCTGAATTGACAAGACTGACGCGACCAAGCAGTATGACGAGCCGCAACAACAGCTCAACCCTCCCGCGCCGCTCCAACGCCATGGCGAGTCCAACTACTCGCAGCCGTCGCAATATTCGCAAGCCGGTGCGCTGAGCCAGCCCAACACGCAGCAGCAGAATGTTCCTCACACCGACGTGCCAATGAACAATGGCGGTGTCTACGGCGCAAACCCCGGCATGGAGGCGCCAGGACCACAGCCTCTCAATCGCGATGACTTCTTCGCGCGCATCGAAGGCGCAAAGGGTCGCATCGGCCAGCTCACCTCGGACATCCAAGCCATCGCGAGCGTCCACCAGCGCATGCTGTCATCGCCCGATAACCGCTCCACCGCCGAACTCGAGAGCATCGTAACCACCACTCAGATCAGGAACACGCAAATCAAGGACGAGATCAAGTTTCTGGAGAGAGATGCCGTCCGCGACCCCAACGACAAGATGAAGAGGACGCAGGTTGAGGCGCTGAAGAAGCAGTTCAAGACGCAGCTGGAGGACTTCCAGAAAGAGGAGGCAGAGTACTCTAGGAGGTATCGTGAGGCTGTCGGGCGCCAGTACCGCATCATCAACCCGGATGCGACGGATGCCGAGGTCAACGAGATCGCAAACTCGGACCTAGGCGACGAGGGTATCTTCACACAAGCTGTAAGTTGGCAAAGGTCACGCGTGGCTCCAGGACATGACTAACAGCCCAACAGCTCAAATCCAACCGCAGTGGCCAAGCTTCAAGTGTTCTTGGCGCCGTCCGCGCCCGTCACAACGACATCCAGCGCATCGAGAAGACCATGGGCGAGCTTGCCCTTCTCTTCACCCAGCTCAACGAGCAGGTCGTCTACCAAGAGCCCATCATCCAACGGACCGAGGAGCAAACTGTGCAGGTCAAGGACGACACCGAGAATGCGAACAAGCAGTTGGACGAGGGAATCAAGTCCGCTAGGCGCGCGAGAAGGCTCAAGTGGTGGATCCTCTTGACAGTCGTCCTGATTCTGTGCGTTATTGCGCTGGTACTTGGATTGTACTTTGGATTGAAGAACAAATAGAGCACGGCGGGAGCGAGAGCATTGTAATGACCTAAGAGGAGGGAAGGGACGTGATATCATTGGGACTATCGTTCTGTATCTGTATGGGGATTTGTATGGGGAAGTGGATGAACTTCTTTTTCTTTATTATTAGTAATGATCCGGAGCTGTACTCCGCAGCAACGCCGCATGTGTATAAACGGGAGTCGGCAAGGGAATAGGTATTAGCGCTAATGGTATGATGGCGAAAAGCTCGTAAAACAAAGACCGCCTTCCCAACATGTTGAGGCTGAACCACTAATGATCTTCTAGATCCCGCTGGCGCAAGCATTGTCAATAACCCAGACCGGGCGCACGTATTTTCGATAAAGATGATGGCAGTGCAGTCAAAGGTCCGACTGCTTGAGGGTGGTGCTTTCATGTTCATGCTTAAGTCGTTCTCATGTGCGATGGCTGGACGTCGTGTTGAGGAGGTTGACCGATGCTCTAATAATAAGATGGCGAACTAGCCGATTGCGAAAAACCCGCATTCCCAGCGCCAGCATCTCAAATACGGCAGATGATGATGATTCGTCGGGCTACGATTAAAAAATCGAGCAGACCTAGCGTCGTGATGTCAAGACGGTGCAAAGGTCCGGACCGACTGCCTCGTTTCACAACAAAACCGTAGGCAGATATCGCCGTTTCGGAAGCAACCAGCAATGGACCAGCCAGCCATGCTGCAGCAGTTACACGATGCACCCACATGTCGTCATTAATCCAATCTTAGCCGTGGGCCGTCATTTCGGCAGCAAGACTGCGCAGCATGGGGCAAAGACATGCGTTGAACCCGTTTGATACAGATCGCCAGTGTCTGCGCAACAGACTCAGTGAATGATTGACGGCAGACGCGTGTTTCAGCGTCCTTCACTGCAGTCCATCCAAGCATGATCGCCACGGCGAGCCATTCTTCTTAGCTAGGCTTGAGGTGGGCCGGTGGGCGTTGGCGGCTCCTTGGATGTGGGCTTGGTGCGGCTTGTTCAGGGGTTGGCGCTGCTTGCCTCCAGCCGGGCGATGCAGGAGCGATCCCCACCGGGGAAAGAACGAATCAGAAAGGGAAGGCGCCTTCCACTAGGAAATTGGACGCGTCGCCTCCCTCTTCAAACAGTGCTTAACCTGCTTGTTTTCCCTGGAATCTTGGTTTGACCTTTCTTCTTCATCTCACGAACCAAGTGCTTCTTGCCTTGCCTACCTTTTTCTAATCGCAACTTCTTACACTCGTTTCACGGGAGTTGCATTCTTCAAAGACTGTATTTGTTTACTTGACGATCCGACAATCGCTTTATAACAATCGCTCACACCAATTGTCCATACGCCCGCCCACCGTAATATCATCAACTCACACACGACCATCATGAAGACCTTTGCCATCGCCGCCGTTCTCGCGGCTTCCGCTGCGGCCACCCCTACTGCCGCTGTCCAGAAGCGCGCCATCACCCCCGTCACTGTGAAGGGAAATGGTATGTCACGCCACCTATTACCATGACGATCGCCTACTAACACCACTCAGCTTTCTTTGCTGGCAACGAGCGTTTCTACATCCGTGGTGTTGACTACCAGCCCGGTGGCGCTTCCGATGCGAAGGACCCCATCGCTGACGAGGCTGGCTGCAAGCGCGACATTGAGAAGTTCAAGGAGCTCGGTATCAACACCGTCCGCATCTACACTGTCGACAACAGCGCCAACCACGACACCTGCATGGGTCTCCTCGCCGATGCCGGAATCTACCTCGCTCTCGACCTCAACACCCCCAAGTACTCCATCAACCGTGCCGAGCCCCAGAAGTCGTACAACAAGGTCTACTTGCAGAGCATCTTCGCTACCGTCGAGATGTTCGCAAAGTACGACAACACACTGTTGTTCTTCTCCGCCAACGAGGTCATCAACGACGACAAGACCACCAACTGTGCTCCTTACGTCAAGGCTGTCACCCGTGACATCAAGTCCTACATGAACGCTCGCGGTCTCCGCAAGATTCCTGTCGGTTACTCTGCCGCTGATGTCGAGAGCAACCGCTACGAGATGGCCGACTACATGAACTGTGGTGACGATGCCGCTCGCAGCGACTTCTTCGGTTTCAACGACTACTCTTGGTGCGACCCGTCTTCCTACACCACCTCTGGTTGGGACCAGAAGGTTCAGAAGTTCGGCAACTACAGCATCCCTATCTTCCTCTCCGAATACGGCTGCAACAAGGGAACCCGAAAGTTCGAGGAGGTCAAGTCTCTCTACAGCACCGACATGACCGGCGTCTACTCTGGAGGTCTCGTCTACGAATACTCCCAGGAAGACTCCAACTACGGACTTGTTGAAATCAACGGCGACTCCGTCACTGAGCGCGACGACTTCAAGGCCCTCAAGGAGGCTTTCTCTTCCACCAAGAACCCCACTGGCGACGGTGGCTACAAGTCCAACGGCCAGCCCGCCACTTGCCCCGACCAGTCCAAGACCTGGGATGTCACCATGAAGAGCGACGAGCTCCCTGCTGTTCCCTCTGGCGCCAACGACCTTTTCAAGAAGGGTGCTGGCGACGGCCCTGGTCTCTCCGGCTCTGGCTCCCAGCAGGCTGGTTCTTCCGAGACCAACCTCGCCGGTGCTGGTGACGGTGCTGTCACCTCCGGCGGTGTCGTTCCCAGCTCCACCGGTGGTGCCAGCGCTTCCGGCTCTGCTGGTGCCGCTGCTTCCGTCCGCCCCGAGTTCAGCTTCGCTCCTCTCGTCTGCGGTGCCGTTGTCCTCGCCTCCTCGCTCTTCGGCGGTGCTCTTATCTTGTAAGAGTGTTTTGCTACGATAGAGCTTCGAGTGTTTCTTTCCGCTTCAACATGTATACCCTCTTTTTGGGTTTCGGTCGGATCGAGTAATGCAACGACCCAGCGCGGGCAACGTTATTGTGATAGATTTGGCTTCTGTTTAACTCAAGTCGCATAGTGTGGTTTCGGGACCGACTTTTGATGGGAGTTGGTCGGACTTTTGTTCGACTTGGCGTCCTGCTTTTTTGTTGTTCACTTTGTTTGAGTATCTCAGTATATATCAAGAAATACAAACACATTGAAAAATAACGAGTGTTGACTTCACATGGTGATGGTGTGTTGTGGCCCAGCTTTGGAAGAGATGTTGGTACTACAACCTGCTGGTTCTACATGTAGAGCTGCTCTTGCCGCCACTCTACCTTCCTATCGACGAGCCTATCTTTTTTCCAGAAACACAAATGCGGTATCTGATGCTGCTGCTCTCTCCATGCAAGCTGTTAGAGTTAGCATACATGTGCCTTTTCTTTCTCTAATCCTTAGTCGAATGATGTCGTCCTTTGGTCATCTTCAAGTTGCACAATCAAAAATACGCGACTATTAGCATTGACTACCCATCATCGTAATCATCAAAAGCAGAACAGCTTGAAGACATGGCAGTTGTGTCTGCACTGCATTGCTACGTGTTCTTCTCAAGACAATAGATGCCATGTATGCATGGTTCCGCCCACTGCTTCAAATGCAGCTCTTATGCCTTCTATGAGTCGACGTAAGTCGCGAACAATGGTTCCCAAGGGCTATGTCATACGCTTGTCGGACATTATGAAATAGCTGGTACTTTCTAAGTAATGTTTACGACTTTGGAAGGGTCAAAGCATAAAAGCTACCTTTCCCATATCAGTCTTGCCCTCTTTGTTATCACTACCACTCGATGTGTTTTCACCAAAACGCCGGACACCACATGGCATGTGTGTGTCCCTTTCTACTCCAAAAGGACAACGAAATGCTTTTCATGAGCGTGTTTATTTCCAAAACACACCAATTTAAACCCATGTGCAATGGAGTAAGTCGAATTGGCCTTGCTCGGTTAGAAGCAATATAAACATTCTTCTACATTATCCCGTGTATCCATTACTCAGCACCTACATTCCAACAACTAACAAATCTGCTCTGACCCGGTTCATGTGCGGTTCGCTATCTTGGTCCAATTTCCAAAAAGAAATAACGCACCAGTATGATTTTGGAGTAAGTTTGCGAAGTCCAGATGCCTTGTTCCGAGATTCAAGCTACTGGGATAGCATTGAGTGCAGTACCATCTTCCTGTGGATAGGAAGGAATAATATAGAGCAATATAGGCGTGCGCGGCACGACTTCAAGTACATACTCGAGTGCACGACTTAGTACAAAGTCTCTCTCCTCGGCTGCTCCTCGTTTTCCTCTCTATCAAACACTCTCCTCTTATTTCCAAACCCCAAAACTTCAACAAGTATGTGTGCCTGGCTTCAAGAATCTTCTTGGATAATTTCATGAGCAGCGAGGCGCTGTTTCGATAAAACTTGGAGTATCCTCGTACATGTTTTTTCCTCACCTCGGAGCTGCACAAAAAAGCTTCGGTTGGCTTTCTCATGAAACTAAAAATGAGAGCTTCATATATATATAGGCACCTGAAACCTCTCCGCGTTAGTGGTATGAATACTACCTCTCTCCTGATCCCTTCCTACTTTCACTTTCCACCATACTCTGGGGAGGGATTTTCATCGAATATATATGGGAAACAGATAATGGCCTTTCCCTTCTCTTTCCCAAAATAACAGTGCGGCACTGGCATGGCCGTCTTTGCTTTGACGAATAAAATATATACGCCACTTTTGAACGTCGTATTTCTCCTATGCTGCCATATCAAAAGCACTCAGCCCACTATTATGCTGCGAACACCTCAGTCGTGACCACTACATGACACTGCACGCGGTGTGCAACAAGCGAAACACGAGATTAATCAACGTGCTTAGTGCATAGGGCTCAGACTTCCAGTTGTCAAACTTCGCGCTGGCAGGAGACGTGTACATTGTGGCCAGCAAGATATATTAGTTCAACATGACTCGTCCAATATCGCGTGGTTGCTATTGGAATCTCTGAATTTTAGAAACGGATGGAAGGCAGACAAGCTAAGACTGAAAACATTGGGTTCCAGACTTCAAGACGCAGTCACTTGTGCAACGTGTGAAGTGTGATGTGTCTTTGTCTGCGTACCCACACATGACACTTTCAAGTTGAGATTTGGAGGCTACTGTTAATTGATGAACATTGTAATACACCATTAGAACCGCAATGTCGTGTACACCTTCGTCACCCGACCATGTCATCCCATCATTTGCAGTGATCCATCACTACACCATTTGTCAAATACGCAAACAGCTAACAAACGCAAACAGTTTAACAGAAAAGAACACATAGACAAGGGGGTATCTCAAGGCTCAGACGATATGCAACAAGGACGTTATGACGCGATCGCTCCCACCGACCGTAACGCCTTGTGTCAGTCATGGTCGTCTTCTCACGAGCCGGTGAAGAGATGCCAGACAACTGTAAAAACAGAAAGAAAGACAAACCACATAACGCCTCAAATGCCGCATTGCAAATCAAACAAGGAGAATGAGGCTCGTTGTGAGAGCCATTTGGCATGTTGAGTGCCATCAATCCCACCTGGTTCAAGGTGGCGGCGGCCGACGAAGACGGATGGGAGCTCAGACCTCCATCCTTTCCATAGCGCACTCGCTCATCGACCGTATCTTGCTCACAGCCCTCTCTCGGTCGACCAGTGACTCAACATCGCTGTCGTCCTCACTCTCGTAGTATTCGGCATCCATGCTCATCTCTCTGGCTGGCAGGTACCGTTGTTGTTCAGCGTCGACAACATCACCGGGGTGATCAATGACCATGTTGTCGAGCTCGTCACTGTCTCCGTATGCCTCGAGTCCTTTTCTAGCACGGTCACCGAGCCAGTATTCGGCACGCTTCCTGCTTCCTGCGTTGGCGCTGGACTCGTATTTCGATGCTTTGAACTTGGACATGAGCGACATGGCGACACTAGGCGAGTTCGATAGAGCAGATACTCCGCGAAGGTAGAAGTATGCGACTCGCTTACGCTCCTTGTTGTACAGGAAAAAGTGGTGACTCCAAATGGCGCCGTCGTCAGCAAATGGGTCATCTGAAGGCTCCCATGCATAGTATTCGCAGTTTGACATCTCCATCTCGCTGTCAAGTAGGTGCCAACTCCGTGGACTCCAGATCGGTGAGCCAAGCGGTGTGACTGCGCCTGCTGGTAGTCCTGCAGAGTAAACTTGTGGGCGGAGGTAGTACATTGTTGTGTCGATCTTGTGCATGAAGCTGTGTATGGTCTCGCGACGGAACTCGTCCGGATTCAGTGTATTGGCAAAATCGTAATCGATGTGGGTTGCGTTGAGCGTCGCGATCAGGTAGGCAAATGTATGACGGTTCGCGGCTTCGCTGAAGGTTCCGAATGGTGTGTCTCGAGAGACATCGAGTTGGTCTGCAAACTGAGCGGCAGATTGCTCGGAGAGCCCTGCCACCGCCGACAGCAAGTCCTTGTGTCGCTCCTCGAGCGTCCGCTCGATGCGCTTGTATAGTTTCTTGTCGCTACCGGCTGCTTTTATCGTCCACAGATCGCATCCGCCGATGATGGCTGTATCTTGCGTGTCGAAGTTGAGAGCGAGGTTGACCTCGTGGAGGGCGCACAAATCGAGGTACTGCGGTCCCACCGGGTTAGCTGCGTCATAGCCTCCAGCCTTATCGCATCGTGTACGTACCTTCATTGTGCTTGCTGTAGGCTCCTATTGCCTGAATATTTCTTATAGAATATGTCGCGTATGATCCAGGATCTTTGAGATAAGAGAGTACTTCAGCGGGCCGTAGCTGCTGGTGGAGGTGATGTGTTGGTCGGGAGGGGGTAGCCTGCGCGAACCGATACAACCAGTAAACACGACTCTAGGCTGGCTGCAGAGAGGAGAGGGTACTGTTGTTCGGCCAGACAGTCGTCTAGCAGGCAGTGGACATATGTATGGCTTGGGTGTAGATGTGGTGTGAGATGTCGGTGTCGCTCTTACGACGTGGTCGCGATTGCGGAGAAGGTCAGCTTGGCGGTGTCGCCGAGCTAACAGCGGCATGTGTGTCGGGTCTTCCTTCCTGATTGGTCGATGCGACACCAAGCCCTCAACCAACAACAGCTGCCGATAAGGCCGAATGGGTAGTTGGCGAGAGGCGACTGGTGTTGAGCGATGATGTTAGTTGTGCTTAGTACCGAATATGTCTGAGCATGTCATCTGATGTTGTTCGAGCACGTGAAGGAGGACAGGAAGCTGCCTGGCAATGAACCCAGATGGATTCGGCAGCGTTTCATTTGATGTATGCATGTCAAGGTTCTGAACGAAGGACCAAACGTTGATCCGAACCAATTGCTGTCACGATGTGCAGTGCCTAGGTGGTGTGGAGACCTGTAGCTAGATGGATAAGGTAAGTAAACCAGCATAAAGGAAAAAGAAAGCAACAAGAGAGAATGATCAAGTCTATCAAGGGTGAAGTCTCGATATCATGATGTGTAATCACGTTCGAGCCCATGAGCCACTTGTGTCAAACCTAGCTGTGTCGAGCAAGCCCGCCAGTCCGAGGTGTTTGAATTGTAGTAGATAGAGTACAGCTACCGCCATCCGCTCTACAAGGCAGGATGGCAGGTAGTGCGTTCTCCAGATGATCCGACTCCCTGCGCCGTGTGATATCGTGTTGCTCCGACGCCTGCCCTTGAGAAGATCTTTAGCAATGAAGCGGATGAACCGTATCGCAACGCACGACTGTGTGCCGTGCTGCCTACGCCCATACTCCAATAACGCCGTACAGCATGTGTTCGTATGCGCAAACCGGGTCCGGTCTCATAGGATGCCGCTCTCTTTAAGTCGGCCTTTGAAGTCATCCGCATCCTGGAAAGCCATCAGGCGCGGTCAGTGAGGGCTCTTGGGACGGTCGGTGACAGAGGACCAAAAGACGAGTTGTGTAATGGTGCGTTCCGTACACGCTTTACATAATCTTGGTAACGATATCGTCCTCAGCCTGACGACACGGCGCGTCAGCCAGCTGGTGCTATGGGTGTGCGGCGAAGCGGACCCGAAAGTCATCACACTTCACTCACCTCCATATCTTCGAGGCTGTCTTGCTGTCCAATGCACCGTAACACGTTCTTCTTGCTGCTCTCTTGCATCTCCCCCGCAAGCAGCAGCTCGTCGAGGATGAAGTATGCCTTTTGGAAGTTGAAGATGATGTCGAGCTCGCAGACGTTGCCGTAGTACTTGTCCATCTGCTCAACGTAGCGGTGGACGATTTCGAGCGTGATCAGCTCATTGTCGGTCGAGTCGCAGCCGGCGATGAAGAAGAGCGAGGCATATCGGCGATAGACGATCTTGGTGTCTAGCAGAATGTGTGAGCTAGCGAAGCTATTACCCCTGCGGGACCCACTGACCTTTGTACTCTAAGAAGTTGCACATGCGCGTGCGGCGGGCGAGGACGAGCTGCGAGACGTCTTTGACAATCTTGGCCTTGTCCTTGGGGGCGAGTGTGGTGAACCACTTGGCTAGGCGCTACGAGCTTCAGCAGAGGGACTTGTGATTCTAGGGTGAGGGACCAACCACTTTGCCCTGCCGGGACAGCAGAATGAGGTATCTACAACTGTCAGTCACTACAGTCCATGGCATGCAATAGCACAGCAGAGCTCTTACTTGATTGTCATGGTGTCGTGTGAGGAGAAGATGCCGGTAGCGTCGTGTCTGGTGCACTTGCTTGGGGAAAGATGTTAGGTTCGGCGATCGGCGGTCACAGGCCAGCCCCGCGACTTTGAGACGTCAATGCGCCTCGTCCATTGCCATATCCCCGCTATCGCCATCCAAATTTGTAGATATACCCAATGGGCTTTATGCGCATGCACTTCTGATTCTCGCCTTCTGCTTTGTTCCCATCTGCCATTCAGCCTTTCCGCGCTACTGCAAATCCGACGCGACTGCCTTCCCAAGACGGCCCACCCGCTGACAAACGTTCACTGTCCCCGTCTCGCGACTCGAATAACCCCGAAGAGTCACCATCCCAGAACACACACAATAAGCTTTCGTCGTCAGAGGCCTTCTATCTTGCGTCATTGTTCAGCCTCTTGAGCTGGCCAACCACAATCATGAAGCTCATACTCTCTACCTCGTATGTCTTGCCCAGACCATCCAAGACGGTACCTAACAACACAGGAATACCATGTCCGGTGGTCCTTCCGTAATAAGACGACCCTTCTTCGAGAAATCAAACACCGAACTCACTTCCTCCCTCCGCGCAAACTTCGCCGCCCACCAACCCTCTCCAACGCCCTCCAAAACAAACTACGCAACGTGGACCACCAAGGCCGACTCAGCCTTATATGTACCCACGCATACACCATCACCTCTTGCTGAACCCCGAGAATCATACGACATCACAGTCAAACTATTCTACCTCCCCAACATACCCACAGACCGGCGCTGCGCACAAACACGGGAAGCGATAGAGCTCGTACTGAAGGAACTGGGTACATCATCTATAGATCTCCTGATCGTAAGCTTCCCAGGAATAACATTCGACGCCGACGATGAAGATTCCGATCTCGACGATGACGATCCGCCTTCGCCCCCATCTGCGACACAATCCACCTCCGAGAACACTGCGGGCGACTGCCCCGAAGCCGGGGCACCACCAGAAGACATAGAAACCATGGTAACAACATGGCGCTCGCTCGAGAAACTCCACGCAGAAGGTCTCGTATCAAAACTTGGAATTGCGGAATTCGGCGTCGCGCGCCTGACCAAGTTCCTCGAACAAACAAAGATAAAACCAAGTGTGAATCAGATCAATGTCAGGGACTGCTGTGTTGTACCCAAACCTTTGATACTATATGCTAAGCAACAGCAAATCGAGCTGCTGACACATAATGACTGCACCAACATCCTACCGCGCGGGACACTACGACAAATACTTGGATCAGGTGAAGAAGGTTCGGGTGTGCTGGCAGGAAATGGAAATGATGAGGGTCTCAGGGGCGATGTCGAGCCGCAGTGGGTAGTCAAATACACCGCCGTTGTCAAAGATAGGGGTGTTGTGGAAAGTAAAGGCTATTTCGCCGTAGCAGAGTTGAGGGACTCATGAGGATGCTTTCTCACGGCAAGATTACGATCACACGAATCGACTACACGACTTGCATCTCTCCAGTTACCAAGTTTCATGTGTACATATGTTGGGGTCTGCTCACTATCTCCTTACATGTTCTTGTGTATGGCATTGTATGCTGAATAGACGCCCAAGATGCCGCACCCCTTACACTTCAAGGATGCCCCGCCCGCCCCAAGATTCGCTCCTAGTAACGGGTTGCCGCACTTCTTACATGTCGGCTCAAGGATGCCAATGTTATCGATTTCCACAGATTTTGATGGCGAGCGATCTGCTCCGGTCTTGCCCCCCTTATTTGTGAATTTGGTCGAGTCAGACATAGTGGTTCGCTTGGTGTTGGTATCAGGATCCTTGGAAATTTTCAGGCGTTTGGAAAGGAGTTGAATGATCTCGCTGGTAGGTATGTGTTGTCGGTAAGAAGTCGTTGGGAGCTATGCGGTATATATACATCAAGTCTATTCACTGTGTGATCTACTGATCAGTTACTGTGTACCTATGATTTCCCTGCCGCAGCGCGGCATCTTCTGAGACAACAACTTCAGTCTGTCACCACGAGTGTCTTGATCATCATGGCTTCTAGCTAGTGATGCATTATGCCACGTTAAAGTCTCAGTCTGACAAGCTGAGTTGCTACGTATGTGGTTGACTGATACATGATCGATGACAGCTGTGAAGATATAGTTACTTCTTGCACGCCAGCGTTCACAACGCGAGTCGATCACGAATCCCAGCTACATAACCCTCTCTATGTCTCACTATCTTGATACCCGGGTTGATAGTTCTCCACATCCTTTCCACACTCATACGCGCCAGCTCACTCTTCCAATGGTAACAGAAACCAAAGCTGCAAATAAACAGTGCGCCAAAAGCAGACCAAAGGGACCATCCAATACAGAACGAACTCCAAAATCAGAGACAGAACTCCTCATTCCTTACGTCTCCGATGATGATGACTCCGATACCGAGGACGAAGATGCATCTTTCGGTCACTGCTGGAACTGTGACGCTCCTCTCCCACCGCCTACCCCGTCCAAATTCACTGTTGAATGTATTGAGTGCCAATTCCCTAATTGAGAACGTACCTAGACGGATGACAGAGATTTCTAAGCAGCTTGGATACAAGGCGATGTTACGGGCAGAGTAAGGCGTGTATACGGGCTAGATGAGGTTTTGGGGTATACTTCGATATCAGTATTCAGCTCTTCTTTGCTACCTTATGCTATGTAGTCATTTCGTATTCAACGTCCGCCGCTTCACGAGAAAAACATATCCGTTATCTTTCAGACTTGTTTACTTACTCAAGTGAAAATCCAACCAGGGAAATTAGTCGCAGTATACACACCCAAATGTACGGTTGGTCAATCTCCAAACAGCGCAACCATATATTCACTGCTCCGCTCTGATCGTGTCAGCCCTGCTTGATCCCAAAACAATGTAAAAGCCTTGATCAATACCCCACTGAGCCATTAGTATACGAAAAACCTTACTCCCAGGTCCTTATAACACATCTTGGGCACATGCTTACATTACCTACCCAACCACTTCAGCTCTGATATTACCAATACCAGCACCATGTCCGACCAGTATCAATCAGACGCCCCTAAAGCATTCTTCTCACCTCTAGACTTCGGCGCAAAAACTTCAGACAAACCTGCCGTTATCATCTCTACATTCATTTCTACCTCCAATTCTCGAGCAGCTTCACCACAACTACCAACCGCATCGCACAGTAGCGCATCAGCACCGTCTTCCTCTATTTCTGCCTACATGCAAACTGACAAGGGAATTCACTACAAGGACGAAAGAGAAAAGGCCAAGAACGGGAATGTGATCACCGCTACGAAAGAACCATGTGTAGAATGTAGCGGCAAGATAGTTTGGGTAACAAAGGGGCAGTGGTTGATGGTATGCCAGTTGTGTGGCGAACCGCAGTAGGGTTAAACTGTTGGATGTAGAGAAGTGGGTTGTGAACGGGGAGTCCAGGATAGCTAAGGAAGAATGGAAAAGGAATGAGCGAAGAACATCCTTAAGGAAACGACTGGAGAAATGCATGAAACATGCACTCCTATGACCACATAGGGCTCACACAGAGGGTGAGTTTGTATTGAACATGTATCTTTTCCTTTATCGGTCTCGAGTTCCTCAGACTTGGAGGACAATAAACGAGGGAGTATCCAGAAATTTCAAGGCCAAGCTCTGTAGAAGTTGTTTGACTGCTAGATTTGGATCCTGTAATGTTAGTGACCCATTGATTTACAAGACTGTAGCTTTTCACATTGTAGTTCTATCAAGCATTCATCGCTGTAGCAAATTTCGATGAAAACGATCAGCAAGACCATATAAAAAGTTCCCTTTGAATTCTACACATTTCAGTCTCATCATCGGCACAGAGCCAAGCTAACAAGACAGCAGTGACGCGTGTACGACCAGCCGCTAAGTCGTCACAACAGACTATCGCAACCTAGGGAATCCCTTGGTCATCCCCGTCCCAGTTAGACGGCAGTGGGGAACATGATGTGTCGACTAGACGCGCGGGCCTAGCGGGAGCAAGCGCTTGGGAAGGAAGGCCGTTCAACCAAGCGACATCCAAGTGAGGAAATCCCTTTTCCTAATCCAACAGGTGTTGAGGTCCAGAAAGAGCAGTTGCTGCGGTCGATTAATCCTTCTGATTAAGCATGCAGGTGACAGGAGATGATATGTCCCTCAACACTTTACGGCTTTGGGTCTGATAGACTTGGTGTTCTCCTCGCTTGGTAGTGAGTGCCAGTGGTGTATCGGATTAGCATGCATCCGCCCAAGCGATCTCATGGTGGATGGTAATAAGGCACCATGCTATCAAGTGCGCGATTTGATTCCTAATCTGACCGCATACGGCAGTACGCCCTAGGGCAATCGCTTGTTTGGTGAATGCGTATCGAGATGCTTTAGTGCCTCCAAGGTTGACAGTTGGGCGTTGAAACTGCGGAGCATCTTATCACATGCAGATACTCATCCCATCTGAGGTCAGCGACGAACTCAAAGTTGGTGGCGCAACGCCCGGGCCCAGGAACAAGTCCCGTGGACTTTTAATCCTCACCGATCAGGAAGTATAACCACGAGTTCGCCTTATCGATAGAAACTAGGTTTGCCGTGCCGCATGTTTGCTTCTCTGGACCGATGAAAAAGGACAAGCGAATTCAATCCCAGCGCTACGGCAACAAGAAGACAGGCCAGTTATGTTTAGGTGCAGTACACCCACCAGGCAATATCGCCGCGATGAAACCGAAGGTATCAAGGCATGTTTATAGATGGTCTGGTGGTTGTTAACTAGAATTGTTGCGTCAAGCTTAAGATGCATCTTGCTTTTCCCGCAGATCTGCGCTGACGCTGGTTTCTCACATACAAACATACAAACATCTCACTTTTAGTAAATAGTTGTTACAGCCAAACCTCTATTACTGTAACCTGCTTCGGTATCTGGGCGGGAGCGCTTGAACAAAAGGCATTTCCTTAGTGTCCAGGCAATAGTTGATGACCCTATTGGCGATCGGTCCCATCCGAGTGCAGTTGACGCCAGGGGCCAGAGGGTCCAATGAAGGCTCCGATCGACCCTCCATGAAAGGAAAAAGGATCGTGGTTTGCATGCACTAAAGTGAGCTGCAGTATCGACAATGTCAATGTATTGTTACAGAACGGCTTTCAAAGGCGGCCTCTCAGCTTAGTCGAGTAGACTGCTCTTACGTCTGATGTGCATGAAGATAATCTTCGGCGTACACGTTGCAGATGAGATCAGCACGCGTTCTTGCAGCTCGTCAGCCTGCAGAAGAGCTGTAGAAAGCACGATTAACTTCTGACAGAAGCAGTACGAAACGTGGTGCTGACTGATCGCGCGGATCCTGGTAGCGATGCTGTGCCCTTGCATAAGCTTGGGTGACGATGTTCACGTTCGCATCAAGTTCAACGACCAGCTTATCGTAGACCTGCCCCTAAAGAGGTGCGCAATGTGAGTCGCTCATCGGTGCTTAGCATTTTCCTCCGCTCCAGACCATGAGCAGACACAGACTTGACCAATAATGTCTCTTGGCGACGACGGATCAAGAGGCGACGGACGCTCCGTTGCGGGGGTTGTTCAGGCGAATGTTATCACGAAATGGCGCTGGGTCCGGCAGTGCTTATCCAGGCGTGACAGCTCTCGACTTCAGCTCGTTGTAGTATCCATTAGCGAAAGAGGGGCACTCGAGGGTTTCGCTAGTAGCTGAAGTTGAGAGATCAGCTGGTGCGAGATCTGGCCACGAGTCTTGGTAGGCGAGTAAAGATCAAAGAAACAGCGCGCATGCTGACATCGTCTAGACCTTTTGGTAGCGATCGTTGAGATCCGCTCGCCGTTCCATAGGTAGTGGTCTGAAGACATTGAGCCATGCTTTTCTCTGCATCTGGAACTGCCGGTACATAGGCGATGGTTTCAGATGTGATAGTAGGGTGTGGGGTTGGAGCATCTGGTTCGTCTGGGGAAGAAGCAGCCTAGACTTTGCACCAGCGAACAACCGGAAGCGAGCGGGAGGCAACGAACGACATCTGGTGTCGCATTAGACAACCAGCTGAGTGGTTTACAGCACGGTGAACTCTCTTCTGTTGGGAAGGCGAGTGGTTGGCTGAAATCATCTCGAGTCTGCGGCTCTGCGGACCCAGGCGGCGCTCCTTCGCTCTGTACACGTCGCTGGGTGAGCGCATTCGCGTGCAGCCAGCAAATTACCCGGCCCACCTGGCAACGCAATCTCCCAGGTGTACTCATTGCCTTGTTGTCAAGGCCACGTCAAGCCAGTGAGTATGCCTGGAATCATTATGACGATTGTTCAGAAGAAAGAAACAGTGCTCGCATCGCTCGGGTATGAGGTTTGTCTGTGAGTCCATCAGGTGCTGCTTAAGCAGGGGAGGCGCAGTCGTGGCTTACAGGCCTGTCATTGGCTGTGGTGTCAATAATGCTCATTGCGTTTTCCCCATCGGGCAAGAAGGCAAAATAGAAGCCGGAGATTGCCAATTTCGTCCTTCCTGAGGATCAAAACAGACTTGAAACGAAATTCGCAATTTTGGGTCTCCGTACGCCTCGTAACCTGGCCAGTGTAAACAATACTTCCAAGAATCGCAGTTTCCTAGAAAAAACTGACGGCCGGATAGAGCAGACTCCGTCATTCACTCCATTCCACATCGGACAGCGCGATCTTACCCCTGAGTGGAGTTTGGTAGCTGCGCGTCATAGAAGCCGTTGTTGACGATGTTATTGACACTGACAAGTAACGACGCGTTGGCGGGCGCCAGCGGCAGGTTGGACGCAGGTGGTAGGGCGCTTGGAAGCCAATGGGCTGGCACGGAGACGTTTGCAACTTGTGGAGCAGCACCGTGGCTGTGCAATGCCAAAGCTCGTATACAGTGTTCGCGCTTGCGCAGATGCAGAGCCCAAGAATAACACCAAACGATTTTGATAAAGTTATTGGGAAGAGTAGAGTTGCGGTCCGAAGCTGTAAGATGGCATTTTCGGGTCCCGTACCCAACGATGAGGTTATAGACTCTGTGGTACAAGTTCTTTTTCCTACACCGCTGGTCTCGATCCAAAAGAAACGAAATCTGATCTAAAGCTTGATGGCGCACACCAGCGTTGAGATGGACGTCACAAAGGCAGCCGTTGTGTGCACTATGCTCCACAGATCGGGTTGCTAGTACCGAGCGGCGCGATGGTTGGTGGCTCTCGGGCTTGTTTCGAGATTGCTATCGTCGTATCCTCGTAAACATGCTCAATCTCAGAAGACTTGGCAAGCAATGTTTTCCGTCTACAAACGGCAGGAAGTAGTGGATCAAGAAAAATGAAGTCGAGTTTTTCAATTGCGGGACGTAGCTCGGCGCATTGCGCCGATGAGAGATGGACCCTGGAGATCATTTGAGATGATGCAGACAGCGGGAGACATGGTACTCCATGTTCATGACGTCGGAGGATATCGCGAAATGAATCGGTGCGTTTGCTTGATTGGAAGGCGATAAATGATGAACAGGCCGAGCATGTCCATATCGCACACAAGGCTTAGAGCATGCGAAGCAACACATTGAAATCTCCACATGCAGGCGCGCAAACGGAACATTTTCTGAAAAGCGCAAAGAGTTGCAGTGTCGATGCGCCGTATGGGGCAGCAATGCGTCGGACATGCAGGGACATGTTGACTATGGTCGCCCTGACCCAAGTGTAATGGAGAATTAACAGTGTCTTATCTGAAGACGATCGAGACGAGGGAGTGGTACAGATGCCAGTCCGCAGACCCCGTTGCGACGGCTTGAGACACATGTGGTGTTGAACTTGATGCGCTCCCGGAGGCCAGATGCCGGTCCTATCAGTGATGGAACGATATTCGTGTGCACCGCATGGTTATAGTAGGGATAAGTGTGTCTGGCCCGTTATCTTCTCATATTCGGAGAGGGCTTTCAGTCGTCTTGCAGCAAGGGCTGGTCCCGATATATGGCTTGCCTCTTAACCAAATCAGTAGTGTAAAAAGAGAATTTCCTGATTCTTTTGCGCTCTACCTTCCTCTTCAGCAAAAAAACGGGCGTCAGATGGTGGACAGGCCTTGCAGTTTGCCTCTGCCATCCCGCTTCTCCGCATTTCGTCTATCACATCCTATTTATGGTGGCGAGGACGAGCTTCCGTTATGGTTCGAAAGGGGGATAGTGAGGGCGTCGTTGCCCCTGCATAGCTGGGATCAAACGGGTGTAGTTTGGTCAATTGGTCCGAATTGCATATCAAATTCACGCTTGGCCATACATGTGCCGGGATGCGCAGCCCCACCTCGAACGGGTGCTGTGAAACATTCAGTGCTCATCCTTCATGTCTCGAGGCCGAGGATGCGTGGACTTGTCGGGCAGTTCGGATAGCAAGAGCTTGACGCGTGGGCAGGCGGGCAGGCGGGCAGGTGGTGCCAGTAACGGCACATGCAGCGGAAGTAGCATGGCTGCGATTTGATTGCTAGCCGCGCTGTCCGATGGTTGGTTGCGGGAACGCATCTGTTAGTGGAGAGGGGTCGGCTGGCGGCATGTAGCCAAGACGCACTGGGAGAAAGATGGACAAGAAGAGCGAAGAAGATGCATATCGCGTGCAGCCGCCTCAATGGCGAGGGGTCTTGTAGCGCGTAAGGGTCGATGACTTGAGCACTTCTGCACAACAATGACAGCAGCTATGGCAACAACAGAGCCGCAATCACGGACACACGACGCAATTGCAGGCAGCTGCCACGCACGCCCTCGAGGAAATTGTTGTATCTTGCTGTTGCTAGGGCTGTGACGCTGTGCATGTAGTGTTGGATACTTGGAACTGAGTGGGAACCTGCAAACTACATGGGACTAAGCAGGCATCGGCCGACGTTAGTTGACTATCGGCAGGCATTGGCTAGCCGAGGGGCATTGCTACATCATGGTTGTGCAGAGAGCTGGAGTGGGTTTGCTCCATCTGAAGTCTCGTGATGTGAGGCTGTCGACACGTGCAACCTGGAAGGACAACGGCTCTGTTTGCAGCACTGACGACGTTTGAGGGCTACTGCGCAATGGTGCATCGCATGGTGCCATGTGTAAAAAGCAATTGCGCATGTACCGTCCTCGCTGGTACCTGGCAGCGCGTCCCGGCATCGTGTGGATCAGGCGTGAAATTACGAGGGAGACAGCGATTAGCATGGGTAAAGCCACGAACCGGGGATCCCTGCGCGGTGTGGTGGACCGTGCTAGCGTGGAGCCTGCCTGGGAAGGAACGACCGACAAAAGCGACAGTTGCCCTGGTGCTCGTCTCTCACCCACCTCCGCCAATTCACCGTCACCACCTCGCCGTCGCCCCCGTCGCGCACCTTCAAACCGCACTCTGGAGCCCACTGTCGTTACTCACACTAATTGAGGCGACTCTAGGCATCTGTCCGCTCATTTCCCCTGTCATTCCTTAATCTTGGGTGTACTGGCTTCACTCACTCCGACTACGCCCACGGCAGCCTACCGACTTGCCCATCCCGCGCTCAGCACTACCTCGACCTATATTGTACGCACACCAACAACCTCGCACAACCTCACCAACCGTCCTGCAATCTGCTTTTGCGCGTGCTGACTGTTATGTGCCATAGTAATCGCGTCAGCTCTTGTACCTCGACAGCGCTTGTTTCGTCTCACGCCCGCTGCGCTCACACGTGTAGCACCTCGACCACCACCCGTCCAACCACACTCTGTCCTCCCAGTTCCGGCAAGCTGTCCCTGGAACGCACGCTGCCAGTCTAGCTCGCAGATCAAGCATTGTGCTACGCGTCCGTTGGCGGTGCCATCCCTAATCTCGTCAAGCCCCATCGTCGCAGATCGCTGCGTCCGCTAGGGCAGCTAATAAATTCAACATGGCCGGAATTGCCATGCCACGACACAGGGCAACACAGTCGCAGTCTGGTATCGGCTCACCGCTCTACCAGCGTCGACAACACTCCAATGCCGGTCCCATCGAGCTCATCCCCAACCCCGAATTCTCTTTCCCCATGCGAGGACCAGACACCGCGTCTTCAGAGCCAGCGTCGACGACATCGCGCCCAATGTCGCTGCAAGCCTATCCAGCGGGCCGACGAGGCTCCATGCCGCACCACAGGCAGAAGTCAATCAATGCTTTGCCCGACTTCTCCTTCAATCCTGCAGGACCAGCCAAACCAGCCGCCGAATCGTCACCACCACAGTCACCAGCGACACTACCTGTACCTGTACCTGTATCTCCCTCAAAGCCGACACATGGCCACAGGAGGGGTGGAAGCGAGTTCATTGGTGGTGATGTGCGACCTGGTGGTACTGCATTGATGAGCAGCAGTCCGACAAAGGGAGAGGACGCTCTTCCTGTACCAAGCTCGACACTACGCCCTGGCCCTCCAGCCGGTCGTCGGGGACACGCTCACCGTCGCTCAGGCGCCATCTCTTCTCACGACCTGACTTCGATCATGAACCCGCCTGTTCCAGCACGAACTGGCAGTGCGCCCAACACACCCTCAGAGGGCAACCAGTTCGCTTTCGGCCACAAGTTCAACAGATCTGTCTCACAACCATCACTCCGCGAAAACAGTACAGAAGATGACTCGAGTGCGCGACCACCCTCAAGGGCTCGAGTTACGTTCTCCGATAGAATCGAGACCATCCGCCCCCTCTCAACCATCTCTTCTGAGACTGAAATATCTACTCTTAGAGGACACTCGGCCGCAAACAGCCTCTCCTCCATTGTTAGCGGTAACAGTCCAGCACCCATTCGACCTGGACGTCCTACGCCACTTAACACTATTGGAGATGAGGACCGACCAAGCACAGCCGGGAAGGTGCTGGATCAGTTCATGGGCACCCGTCTCAATGGCGAAGTCCAGGAACGCAAGCGGCCTATGTCTGCCATCTCACCCATCTCACCAACTGCGCCCATTCCGAAAGTGCAGGCCAAGCGACGGAGTCTCTTCCAAAAGGATCCTCGTCGCAGCGATAGTTCAGTTCCCACTCTTCCTACCAGCGCTTCCGATCCTGCACTCTCCAAATCCTTCGACACACCCCTTGCATCACCCGCCAAGGACGACCAGTCAGTAGAAATTGCCGAGAAGCCGAAAGCAGCTTCGCGCAAGAGTGGTCGCAAGCCTCGAAAGGTCAAATCATGGGCAAACTCGATTATCACTAGAAAGGGAAAGCACAGCAAAAAGTCCAAGGGAAGGTCTCCTACACCACCACCAAACGTGGTCATGGATTCTGAAGACTCGGATGAATCAGAGGAGATGGATTTCGAGCCCAACTTTGACGAGGACACCACCGTTACCATCGTCTCCCCGACCGAGAATCCAGTTTCGCTGCCGAAGATCGACACCAACTATGCCTCTTGGCAACCACGTGAATTGAAGCGTGTCGATTCTGACATTATGAGCCCAGTGATCGATCTTGATGCAGCACTCGGACCGTTTAACACCCCCAACGGTACCAGCCCTCGCAACCACCAGCGTGGTTTCTCGGCCCACAGACGGGCCATGCACAGTGCTGGTGGTGTTGCACCCTCGCACCGTAGGACCGAGAGCGCGCCTGAACTAGTGCCATTCGAACATCGACCATCAGCGATTGCGAACGCCTCCCCCATGGCCGACGTGTTCGAAGAGGAGGAACCAGAAGACGACGGTCTCACTCTTGCTGTTCCAGCAAAGAGTGCGATGACAGAGCCTGCTGCTGCAGACGCTGAGGAGCCGAAGATATCGGTCGTTGAAACAACAGATGCGAAGCAGGTAGGAACTGCTATCAACTGGAACTTCAACGATGGCCTTGGCATCAAGCGTACTGCGAAGCAAAACGAAGTTGATTCGTCAGAGCCATTGTCTCCCCGAGCAGTTCTGCCTGTTGAGTCGAGCGATGACCCATCTCAGCAAACACAGACATCAGAACCTGTCGAGGTTGTGGAAGATCACGAGGAGCCCCGAACATCTTCGCTCACACATTCTTCCGACTCTACCGTTACCGCTCAGCCGATTGAAGATTCGCCGAAGCATCATCAGCCTGTCATGAATTTGTCCCTTCCACTAGGCCAACAGAGTCTCATGACACCCGACACCGTCACTTCTTCGTTTTCATCACCAGATTGCCGATCCAGTCAGATCTCATTCGATACTGGCCGTGGAGGCACCGCGGCTTCGTCAGTGACGGATTACCCTGTGATGCCTTCTCCCCGCTTCGGCGAGCCTGGACCTGAAGTTCGCATCTCTACAGAGGTTCCGTCTCTGACTTCATCTAGGTCGACGATGACCAGCGCAATGCAGAACGCTTTTCCGCTCCCTAGTCCTCGTCGGTTTGGTGAACGCACGTCGTCTTTGTCTTCTGATCCTAGTGAGATGGAATCACGTCGTCGCAAGCGCTCCAGTATTGCTAGCCTGTCAAGGCTAATGGGAACTTCGTCGTCTTCCTTCAGTGAACGCAGTAAGCTTTCTATCGAGCAGCGTCCACAATCAGAACACCGCGAGCCGACCAAGGACAAAAAGAAGAAGAACATTGGAAGCAGACTGAAGAAGTTCTTCCAGCACACCAGAGACTCTTCCCCATCGAAGACCTGAAGTGTCATCCTCATTGTCACGACTTGCACATCTTTGGCTTTTGCCTCAATCCGACGACCTGCAGTTTGCTTTCCAGTAGCTGTATCTTGTTCATATGACATTATGGCTGTGCCTCAATGAGCACAAACACCACCTCTTTTCCCTCGCATGACCACGGAGTTTACAAGCGATGATTTTTTTTAATGGCGCATTACCAACCTGCGATGCATACGCGAACCGGACTTTTTCTTACTCTCATTGAACAGCATCTTTTCTATTATGAGTACTAGGAGGATGGGTATCTAGGAATCCTGCGATTTGCATCTTTGCATGGCAATGGGGCATCTTCTGGCATACTTTGACTGGTTTCTCCAGCGGCGGTACCGATACACCGACCGTGTTTTTGTTTCCTTTGATCAAATTTTATGGGAGGGTATACTCTTGTTTATACCGCCCGCACGCTCTCTCAGAGACGTCGATACTGCTCTTTGGCAGGCATGGCACGACAGGACTCTTTTCTATATTTTCTTAACAGTCGTTATCACGAAAACAGTACATACATCATAGTATGTTGAAGTAAGCTGAGATGGTGGGACATGTATTTTGAACATGGGTGAGAATCTCGTTGGGCAATCTGTACCCTGAGCTCTTGAAAGGATAGATAGTGGATTGAGCTGGATGAATGGCTGCGATCTTGAAAAACAATCAAACTCTGAATCACATAGGTACTCTTTTGCCATGTTCTTGTGCCTTTTGTGACTCGCTATTCTAACAATTCTACCGAGATAGCCCGTTACATTGTGACAGTGCAAATCTCGCTTGATCCATCGCTTGCTTGGGTCGTTGCAATATGTGTCTGACGCCAACATGCCTGTCTACTACTATCTGCTATCAGTCCTTACCCGACCTGAGGAGAGAGAACTGGCCACCAGCTCGTGGGGAGCCGTTATCGCGCACTGGCCGCTTTTTCACAATCAAATCGACACCATGTGACAGCGGGACGAGGAAGTGAGGAGGTTCATCTATCTGCCCCGAGCGAGCCGCCGCACTTGCATATCCCGCACTTTCTTCGTCACCACCTGACCGATTAGAAGCGAACCGGCCGCTCTCA